GTTCTGACTCCAGCTCTGATCTAGCCGAGTGGCCCTAGAGAAGCTGCCCAGTCAACCTTCTGGAACTTGACGTTCCCATCTAAAAAGTGGCCGTAGCGCCACCTGCTACATCAAGGGGAGGATTACACAAGATCTTATATTATCTATTTTGCACATGAAGATTAAAGATGACCTGTTAGTGGGCTGGGGACATTGTGCAGTGGTAGATCTCAGGATGTACTAGGTGCTTGGTCCCCAGCGCAGCAAAACACAAAAATAAAACCCTATCATCTTTTGTTATCCAATCAACCCTAGCAGTAGCAAAGCAGAGCCGGCTCTCCCAGCAGCCGCAGGGTTCCCAGCCACTCATGGGTAGGTGGCTTCTCCCCAGTGGTCTTACTGCCCTCATTCGTGGTGATTGAACATGCCCTCCTGGACAGCAGTGGCCGCAGCAGCCCAAGATACCAGCAGAGGAACAATCCTCTGTCTCTAATGCAATTCCCTCAAAAACATGACTGAAAGAATAAGACGTGTTACTGAGGGAGAATCCCAAAATACAGAAGTGAAATCGACAGAAGTCTCCTTTTTCACTTTTCTTTACATTATCCTCTAAAAGCCAAGTTGGGAATCTCCAGCATCTGACTTTTAGTAGGAAAAAGGGACTGCTCCCTCTTTCCTGGGAATCATGTTCTTTTTCCTATAAAACTGCCATTTGTGCAGAATTTCAACACTCTTGGGCAAAGTGCTCATAACGAATTTCTCATCCAATAGCACTGCCTTTCCAATGACCATCTGTAGATTGACCAGCACAAATTCTGTTCTACTGGCACAAAAGGTGCTAAAATAATAGGAAAAAGGGGGGTGTGTCACCTAAATAATCATGAACGTTTATTAAGATAAGGCACCACCCAAACTCTACAATAGCATCAAAATCCACCTTCCCCTGTGGAAAGGGAACTTGGCAGTCTTCTCTTTCTCTGGCCGGCCAGGGGTTGTGTGAGGTCACTCCACAGGCCCTCTCCTCCTGAGTGGTGCTGTAAGAAACAGCGGAGGAGCATGAGCCTGAGCCGGCCTGGCCTTGGAGTCACAGCAGCACCTGCCATCAGGTGCTTAAGTCAAGGAACAAGTCTACCAGTGAACCAGGTGGCACCTCACAGCACACCACCCCAAGAACCTGAGACCACTTCTCCAATCAAGTGCAGCTCAGATATCCGGCAGGGAAAGCACGAGGAGACCACCAGACACAAGGACAGAATCCATAGGTATCCTTATTGGGGTCCAAGAGGAAAGTGACATTGGCAACTATGCCCTGCCTCACAGTTCAGGGACAGTTAGAGGAAGACACGGGTTTTCATGGGAGCAGGTTCTGAGAGACAGATGCCCATTCTGATCTCTGTGAGCAACAGCTGACCAAGGTGTCTCACACAGTCCTGGAGCTACAGGAAACAAAGCTTCCGGTACCTCTTCTGTCACCCACGGCCCTCTGCTTCCATGATCTGAGGCCTCCCTCATGAGTGCCCACCACCCACCAGGTTCTGACGGTTCATCTCACTGCCACCCTCAACAGATGTGAGGAGAGATCAACCTTGATTTACAGACAGGACGCTCAGGTCAGTACTGTCCCCTGAGTGGCCCAAGTTTACATGGCTAAGGAGCAGCAGGACTGAAACTGAAAGCTTGAACCTCCTGCCTCCAGTCCAGTCCCTGGGGAGGAAGAGGTTGGTCATGTCCATCAGCCTGGCCCTGGTTTGGTCAGGGACATTCCCATCTTCAATCAAACACAAGAGGAGGAGATGGGAAGAAGACAACATTCCAGCTCCTGTTAATTTCTGGGTATGTAGCTGCCACAAGGTTCTTAACTAAGACACAGGTCCTCCTTTCCCTCCCTCCAGGGATGGCATGAAATACACTCTTTCCAGCTCTAGCGAGCAGCAATCCTGCCCCTGACTAGGAGTTAGAGAGGGTGACCCATGTGACCTGGCCAGCCTGTCTGTTTTGATACAGCCAGACAGTGAGCAAAGGAGGAAGTGCACCTTGGGACCTGGGTCTAGGCTGGAGGGGTCCGTCCTCTCCTCCCCTTCCATCCGTGGTTAGTCATCAGTTATGCCCCTAGAGCGAGCCTGGGTTTCCCAGAACCCATCTCAACACAGTCTAGGCAGATTCTACCAGCTGGATGAAACCTGTCTGCCAATCCTGATGCCACTGTCTGCACGGGGCTGTTCTGAGGGCACGGGACCTCCCACGCAGCACTGCCCCAGGCCCTGGCGGCTGGCCTCTGGCAGAACTGAACTTCCCTGCCTCTCACATTAGGCAAAGGGTGGCTTTCCTGAGGGCCACATACTCCAAAAGGACCTGTCTCAAAGATTTGTTTTGGGACACGAGGCCAGCAGAAGGGTGGCACCCCCCCCCTTTTGTTTCCTCTGCCCTCAGTGATGGTGAGCTGTCCCTTCTCTCCGATCCAGGAGGCACTCCTGGCAGGCTTGAGGGTGGCTCTAGGAATAGATCACTTGATTTTTTTTTTTTCTTCCCAGGACTAGTGCAGAGCAGGCACACTTTCTCAGAGAGAGGCTCCTGGGGACTTCAGGGTGTGACTGACTTGGGTCCACCAGGGGGCAGGCAGCCTGCTCTACTGCAGCTCTGAGGGCCCCAGGACTCCCGACCCTGCCAAACAATTCAACGGAGCACCTTAGCTCCTACCTTCATTTGTCTAATGCCCTTTCGGATTCATGAGGCATCGAGATCAGACACCACTGAAATCAGTGCTGCCCTGAGCGGCACTTCCTATCAGCTGGTGGTTCCAATACTGACTGTGCCATTGCTTAGCGCACAAAACACCTGGCTGCTCAGCAGCTTTGACATTCACACATAAGAATTCTTTGATGCCACAGATCCTGAGGCTTTCTGTCAGGACGTCTCATACAATCAAAGAATGGTGCTGGCAGAGCAGTGCTCCCAAGACCAGGAGCCTCAGAGCATCCCGTGCAGAAGGCTCTGATGGCGGGTGGCAGGCAGGGTCACCCTGGCTCTTAATCCTCATCAAGTGACTGCTCACAAGACTCATTTAAGTCTGCACAATTGAGACAGAAGCCCACAAGGGCACGAGAGTTTCCTGTGACCGTAAACTAAGGTGATTAACAGAAAACATCAGTACTGGTCCTGGAGGGATTTTTTTTTTTCCTTCGGTAGCAGGGACTGAACCTGGGGTGCTCTACCACTGAGCCACAACCTCAGCCCCTTTAGAGACGGGGTCTTGATAAGTTGTTTAGGGCCTCACTAACTTGCTGAGTCTGGCCTTGAACTGCACCACCCCACCCAGCGCCAGAGACATTTTTAAAACATGGGGCACATTCAGACACTGAGAGAAGAGGTGACAGAGTAAGGAGAGAGAAGAGACATGTGACAACAGTGGCTTTTCCATGCAGGTGCACAGATTGGTGTTGGGCTGTGCTGAGGACATGGTTTGATTTGCCAGTGTCACCAAGTAGAGGAGGAAAAAGCACCTGAGGGCGTCTCAGAGAAAGTCTCCTATGGAGGTGGCACCGGCTCCCCTCCACAGTCCCTACATCCCTACACACCCTCCGGCTGCCTCCTACGACACGGACCTCAAGTGTCTTCTCTGAATCCTGGCTCAGGACCTTCGGGGCAGTTAACACTCAAGTCACCTACCCAATGCTGGGCTTTCATGTGCAAAAGGAGACACCATACCCTTGTTCTCGGACGTTTCTCTCCCCTTCCTTCTCTTGGTTCATTTTTTCCTCCTCCTCTTTTTCAAGTCATCTTTGCTGTGAACCCTCATCCATTTCTCCTCAACCCCAAAGTCCCCTGCTCCTCGATGCCCACTTAGGGTCATCTTAATAACGGAATACAGTTATTACAGGAAGTAAAAGAACCAGGCACATGGAAGCGGGCTGGATGCAGGCACACGACGAAGGATGCTTCCCTTCACCATCCAGGCTGGACCAGGACCCATCCTGCCTCTTCTGTGGGCTTCAGAGCCCCCCACGGAAGTAGATGGAAATGGCCAAGCCCTGGCACTGATTGCCTAGTCACAACTGGAGTTTTAGTGAGATTGCAGGTGATTCATATATACAAGGAACTGGACCCTGAGGACCTCCAGGGTACAGACAGCACAGGACTCCTACATTGTGGACACCCCCAGAAAGCCCTCCAGAACCTGGGGGTTCCAGCCATACTACCAAGTGACTGCTGCCTGCACCACACACACCAGTGGTGCTCACAACCCCCGAGCTGCATGCCGCATTGTGACAAGACAAGCTTCACAGTACATTGTGCACAAGAAGCTCAGTTCCGGGTGGTTCCCTAGTCCTTGGGATAGGAAGGAAGGCAATGGGACGCCAGTCCTCCCCCGCCACCCCACTGAGAGAGCGAGTGCACAGACCCCCGACTTCACAGCTCTGCCGCCTCACGTCACCACACACCCCTGCACATTGTAATGACTTTGGAAAGCACAGGTCTGAAAGCACAGCTGGCCTGGGACCCCCACAGCACGCATCTGGTGCTACCACCAAGCTCTGTGGGCGAGAGCTCTCAAGCCCTGCAGCAGCCTGCCCTCTTCCTGGGATGAAGTGGCCCATGTCCCATCAGCAAGAAGACCGAGTGGGGACACAGATTACTCCAGCCTGTGTCCCTGCCTGCTGAAGAACAGCGCTGAGCCCACACCGGCCAACTGTGCCCCACTGCACGGAGTGAGCGGTTTGCTTTTACAATGTCTCAGGGAGGCCAGGTCTTATGGAGGGGCGGGGCATTACCAAGAGGAGGGCCACCTTAACAGGGATGGAGAGTTGGGCCTGGCCCCAGCCCTAGCCCCGCAGAAATGGTCCTGTGCTGACGTTTCTGAGTCTCAGCGTCTCCTCCTTGGATGTGGGCTGAGAGCCACCTTCTGGGAGAGCACTCGGCCTCCATGGTGAGAAGGGCTCTCAGTCAACAGCTGTATGAGCCTCTGCTGCACAGCTCACCCTCGGGCTGGGCGGCCAGCCCTGCCTCCCATGTGGCCGGCTTACCTTGATCATCTCTGCCACATAGCTCTCGGGCCCAGTGTACTCGGTGGAGTCCTTCACCTTGACCAGCACGATGAAGCACAGATAGTGCCACATGTTGTGCTCTTCCTTGATGTGCTCCTCAAAGGTAACCGTCTTGTTGTCAAACTTGTCTCTCTCCAGGCCTAGAAGAGACACAGGAAAACCCACTGAGCAACTTTGAAAGATCCATCGTCTCATGCCAACCTTTACAACACATTCACTTTATGATGGGAAAACACAGGCGGTGAGGTCTGACCCAGCTGGGCGTGAATCCCACCTCTGACGCTCAATCTCTTCAATGGGCCTTAGTTGCTTTGTCAGCAAAGGGGAAGAAGACTGCCATCTAGGTTCCAGGGGTGTTCAGGGTTGAATGAGAACGTGTGAGGTGCTCCTGCCTGCACAGGCAACCAGGTAAATACCAAGGTACAGACACATTACAAGATTTTGGAGGTCAGGGACCTTGGCACATGCCTGTAATCCCAGTGATTCAGGAGGCTGAAGATCACAAGTTCAAGACCATCCTCAGCAAGAAATAAAAGGACTGGGGAGGTGGGTCAGTGGTAGAGCACTGAGAGGTTCATTCCCCAGTACCAAAACAAAAACCCAAAATATACCAAAAATAAGAAAATTATCCCTCAGTCACCATTGTGATAACAGATTCAGACAGGAATCATCAGCGATGCTAAAATTAGTGGTTGAAAGTTTCCTTTAAGAAATAAGAGGATATTTACTAGTGTCAAAGTATCTCCCCATAAAGATAAGCTTCATAGTGGAGAGAACTTGGCAGTTACCATGTTAACCAGGTGATCAAAGTGAACAACACCAGCTATGAGACGAACCCATGTCATATGTTCCTGGTATGACACGCTGACAAGAACACATCTTTGATATTCCTGTAAAAAATGTATAATCTTGACTCTACTGTCAGGAAACACTAGAGAGACCCAAATCAAAAAATGCCAAAGGAGGCACAAGAAAACAGGGCGACCACATACTACACATGACCTGGATCTTAGAAGGGTGAAATTCGAAGAGGGTCTACAGATTAGATGATAGTTTTAAATCTGTTTTGATTTCCTTATTTTGGTAATTTATATTGTAGATAGGAGAATGTTCCAGTTGTTAGGAAATATGTAACTGAGACATTTGGGAATAAGAGGACATGTGTCAGCCACAGGCACTCACATGGTTCAGAAAAGTAGTGTGTGTGAAGCAAATGAGAAACAATAAGATCTGGAGTATCTGGGTGAAGAGTATTTAGAAATTCTTTGCACTAGTCTTATGACTTTTTCATAACAAATTATGTCAAAAAGAAAAGCTTTAAAAAAGTTTTAAGTGGGGGCAAAAAACAAGAACTAAAAAAATTCTTTCAAAAAGAAATTTAAATCTTTAAAGGGGAAATACTCATTTGGTTTTTTTTTGTTTTGTTTTTAGTGTCCCTACCAGGGAACAATATACATACTTTATGACTATATTATGAATAATCCTGCAGTGATTACTCAGTTCCTATGTTTATAGGATTAGTTTTCATTTGCATGTATTTTCCTGTTGTTATACCGAAAATGATTTTTTTTCAGTAGCCAAAGCCCTCTGTGTGCACAGCTCGCTACCTGGCCTCGGATGCCTAAGCCAGGGTCTGTGCTAGGTGCTCACCTGAGCGCTCTCCTACCCTCAGTAATGCAAGCTGCACACATGGCTGCACACATGGCTGCACCCATATCACAGAGGAGGAGAACAGGCTCAGAGCAGCTCAGTGACTGCACCATGCTTCATGCTGGTGAGTGGCAGATGCTTAATCAGAGTCCAGGTCTGGGGCCCGAGCCCTGAACTCTTCCACGCACAGTTTGATTCCAACAGCAGTGAAGATGCCTGCGGGCTGGAGGGGACACAGGATCTCCCTTCTAGTTCACTATGATGGGAAGCTCAGGCAGCCTGACCCCAAAAGACCCTGAGATGCTTTTATTTAAATAATGTGCAGTCAGGTTTCTGCTTCCCAGAACTTCATTCCTAAAGATAAAGGAGCAATGGCTGCATAGAATTTGTAGGCACTCTGAATACTTCCCAGAACAGAGGTGAAGCACAGCCCTGTTCCTTGGGGAACATAGTCATTGTCACTGTCCCACAGAGCACCCAGCACAGCCCGCCATGTCCCCACCTGGCTGTCCAGAGCCCAGGAGGCCACTCACCACAGATGAAGCATGTAGTCTTTAAGATCTCTTCTTTCTTCTGCTTCTCACTTCTCAGGTCAGCAAAGGTGTCAATGATGACACCAAAAATGAGGTTCAGGACGATGATGATGACCATGAAGAAGAACAAGAGGTCATAGATCACTCTTGCAGCAAAGAGAGGTTCCTGGAGAAGAGAGGCATGGCAGTTAGGTGCTTCCCTCACTGTCTCCTGCAGGGCTTGGGGCCCAGCACCAACTGGACTGGTGTCCACTTGAGTGGAGGTTACACTGTCTCTTTTCATACGCTGGGTCTGTCTATACTGTGAATTCTCCAGGTATTGTCTGCTACACCCAGGAGGGTTCTGGAAATGTCTCCTTTAGGCCAGACTCGAGCCTGAAGGAGACAACCATTAATTCTAGGGAATGGGGCAACGTGGCAGACCCTTCCCACGCAGCGTGGCCCCAACATGAGAAAAGAAGGAGGGAGCAGGGAAGCCTTGCCTAGCTACTTCTGCAAGGCTGCTCCTCCCCCTTCCCAGCTCTTCCTCTGTGCCTTCAGTTTACACCACCACCTGCCCCCACACGCCCCCTCTGCCCTTCCTTCCCCTGGGGATCCACCTACCTCTTTGGATGGCTTCCTGAGCACATCTCCTACTCCGCCCCCACTCCGCAGCCCATGACTCAGGACAGTGACAATGCACATCAGCAGCGTCTCGCACGTGTGCTCCTTATCCTGTTCTGTTTCTTCCACAGGGAGCAGCTCTGTCAGTGGGGCAAGTCATGACACAGTTAAAACATGAGGGGAACAGCGGTGCTGTGATTCTGAAATGACGCTCCCGAATGTTGTCTGAGCAGCCAGCAGGTGCCAGGAAGAACCAGATGAAGGAATCAAGAGTCAAAGACCTGTTTTACAAAGGGGCCACTCTGTTCTCACCCCTTAACTCCCTGCTAACTTCTCAAGCCAGGTCAGGATGGCCCTCCTTCTATGTCCTGCCTATGAACAGAGAAGTCTTTCGAGGTCTGGTAAGTTGTTTACCACTCTGGGTTACAGGCATCTTGCTTCTCAGATGAGGGTCTGTCACAGGATCCAGGTTTCCCTATTATGGTTCAGCATGTGAGGTGTTCCAAAGGAAGCTCAGGTGTGGCACAATGCAAGAAGGTTCAGAGGTGAAACAACTGGTATGAGAGCCTTAACATAACCAGTGCATTAATCCCACTAGGGATTACCTGGGTGGCAACTGTAGGTGGATGGGATGTGGCTGGAGGAGGTGGGTCCTTGGGGGGGTGCCTTCAGGGTTTATATTCTGTATCTGGTGAGTGGAGCAGCTCTCCCTCCTTCCTGGTACCATGCCCTTCCGCCTTGCCTCACCTCAGTCCAGAGCTATAGAGTTGGCTGTCTGGGGACTGACACCATAAGCCAAAATAAACTTCCTCTCCTCTGCATTGTTCTTGTCAGGTCCTTTGGTCACAGTAAAACATTGGGAATGCTGTGGGCAGGGCTTAGTGAGATTGCACAGCAGGTCCACTGGCTTTACCCTGGGTTGTTCTCTCTCACTGTTTATGGAGAATGCTGCCCACCTCGTCCCCTTCTCCAGCTGCACCAAGGACGGTCTCGTTAAAACACAGACCTCATCTCCTCCTGCCCCTTTCAGCAACTCCCAGCCCGACTAGACCCTTCCTGACCTGGCCCTTTGCTTCTATTGTTGCTTGCTGCTCTTGTTCTGCATAATCATTTCCCCAAGTTTGCTGGATTCCACCATTATGTCTTTCCATAGACTACGCCCACCACCAGGAGCACCTGTCCCCCTCTGCTCAAGAGTCCCCTATTTTAGTAGATGACACTGGTCCTGACGGTGTGAGTGTGGGAGCCTGTCTTCTGTATTCTGTCCTGACTCCCAGCACTCGGCATTCTCTCTAGTGATCCCTATTGACCTGCTCCCCCTACTCCTCTGCTGGCTCTCAGAACAACACAGGACAGGAAGATAGTGGGTGCTCGGATCAGGTGAGCACGGGCCTGCCTTCCCCTTGAGCCCCCTACAGCTGTCACCAGCCTTCCTTTGGGCAGCATGTTTACTGCACTCTGCCTACAAAATCGCCCACATCATCTCGGCATCTGAGATTCACATGGGGCCCTACCTTGCTTGGGTCCAGGAGAGGAACAGTTCTCCCCTGTCTCCACCCTGCACACATCAGAGTACAGAAACTCGCCTGCCAAACTCTCGCCGGTTTCTGGGAAAGAGAAGGAAATTTCATGATGAAAAATCTGGCAGCATACAGTTAAAATGTTTGAAGTCCCCAATTCACGGCTGATTAAACAATTCTTTACATAAATAACACCCTTCAGTCCTGCATATAAATTCAAAGCAAGAGATGCGATTTACACTTTCATTTGGTGATCTGGATGGGAAAAAAGCCAAAAATGTCAATTCCTGTAGGCTTACTAGAAATATCGCACTTAAATAGCACCTCTCCGACTTTAAAGACAAACAGCTGAGACTTTCAGACAAACACTACAGTATGTACAGACTCCAGCAAGATTTAGACCAAGACTGCAGGGGAGGTTTCAGCGGGCACCAATGGAGAGCCAAGGTCCAGCCCAGGTTGGTTCAGAACCTAGAGATGGCCAACAGTAAGTGCCACAAAATGTCAACTGGAGGCTGAATGACATGCCAAGAAAAGCTTCTGGAAGGGAGGAAACCAGGCTCCTGCCTTCGCGGGTCACCGTCAGTTTGTTCCCGAGATCAAGGAGCTTGATCCAACGCCTGTCATACTTCACTAACCAGTGGCAGCTCTGTTAAGAGGGAGAAGAGAGCACTCAGGCACCGAGTACTGTTCCTCACTCTCAAAACTGGAAACCTCTTCTGTTTTTGCTATACATAAAAATAACATCAGCTCACTATAAAATCTGCATACAATAAAAAAAAAAAAGGCCCAGGATAGCCACTGCTAGCAATCTGATAGTATATCTGTCTACATTTTAAAAGATACATATAAATTTTTTAACTTAAAGAATAAAAAAGGCTAGGCATGGTGGTACAATCCTATAATCCCAGTGACCCAGGAGACTGAGGCAGGAGGATTGCAAGCTTGAGGCCAGCCTCAGTGATTTAGTGTAGCCCTAAGCAACATAGACCCTGTCTCAAAATAAAAACTAAAAAGGGCTGGGATGTGGCTCAGTGCAGGGGTAAAGTGCCTCTGGCTTCAATCTCCAGTACCCAAAAAAAAAAAAAAAAAAAGAAAAAGTCCTACCTTTGTTATCCCATAATTTCTCATGGCATCTTCTGTGATATTTTTCTAAGATGCCTTATAAAAATGGACCCTCGGTGCAGGAGACTCCACCCAGTGGATGGACCATAATCTAAGAAAACGCTCCCTGACACTTAGGTTGTTTCCAGTTTCGCACTGCAGAGAACCTTCTCCCAGGTTTTCACATGCTCCGTCAGCAGGGGTTTTCCTTAGCCTGAATTCTCAGAAGTAGGTTTACTAAGTCAAGAGGCTGCACATCTCGATGCTTTCAACATACACGCTCCAACTGCTTTATGGAAAAAGCTGTGCTGGTTTAAAACAGGACGTTATTGAGCGATCGTAACGTCTGGTCACTTGTCCTCAGCATGTGACACACAACATCCCCCTTCCGGCAAAGGGAGAACCAAGTTCTGTATTCATGACTCACACTCTGGGCATTAGAGAGGCCTACGATGCCAATGGCACTGTTCTCTAGCTGAGCTATAACCAGGACATATCCTTGTAACGATAAAGAGAGAGAAGATCCCAGACCTACCTGGAACAGCTGTTTCATTGGGCAATCTGTCTACTTCCAAGATAAAATCGTCCTTGAAGAAAAGATAGCCCACGATCGAGAACAGGTAAACCAGGATCAGAGCCAGAACCGCAGTCAGGATGATGGACCGTCCATTGCGGGTGACACTTTTAATGACATTAAGCAAAGTCTCTTCTCTGTACACTAAATCGAACAGCTTCCAAAACAAACACAGAGATGGCACGTCAATTTTTAAGAAGCCTCTATATTACGCACACATTACTACCCCATGGTGAAAGCAAGGCTTACAGACCATTTACCCTCTTGGACACTGAAAAGCATTATCTTAACATTTCACATCTTTTTTAGATGGGCATAATACCTTTGTTTATTTCTTTCTTTCTTTATATGGTGCTGGGGATCGAACCCAGACGTAGGAACAATTTCCAGTGCACATGGAGCAGGCTAGGGGTCCTGGAAATCCAGCACGTATGATGCAGAGAGTAAAGGGATACATTTGTTCAGGACATAATTACTGCTTCTATTAAGGACCAGCCAGCGTAGTCCCGGCCCTCCGGAAGCCAAGTGTCTGCTGGGGAAGGCAGACATCATACAAGCTGCTGCAAGCAGTGAGGACCTTGGGCCTCCATAATAGGTTTGGATCTTAGCTCCTCACTGCCATCTTGGGCTAGATACTGTCCCCATCCCTTTTGCAGAGCAGAGGATGCAGTTTACAGACAGTAAACAGGCAATGTGTATCCAGGGCTCAGCATTCATGCCAAGTAAGACAATACATGGTAATTATCAGTTTCCTGAAGAAGAGACTGGGGCAAGGTCACATAATCAGTAGACGGCGGGGACAGTCATGGTGTTGACCTACCGGGAGGCCTCAGCCCTTCTGTCCTCCCCAGGGTGGGGGAGACCCCTGCAGTTTACAGTCTGGGCCTGGCCTTTGCCAAGGGAGCTACCGTTTGCAAGAAGCTGGCTTCCTGACAAGTGCAGGATCCTGTTGAACCATGGAGGTCTGAGAGGCCCTGGCTAGATTTCCAAGAGCTGCGCTATAGCTCTGCAGCAGGGGAATGATGGGGAGTTACAAGAGGAGAGCTCTATGGGGTTGCTCTTAGACGTGAAATCTAGTGGGTTATATGGTTATTATTTTTAGTTTTAAATTCTGGGTTTCCCTTTGTTGCCCTCAGCATGTGACACACAACATCCCCCTTCAAATTTGTGATCCTCCTGCCCCAGCCTCCTGGATAGCTGGGATCACAGGTGTGCACCACCGGGCCTGGCTGGAGTCTAGTTTTCAGCACAGCCTCTGAGCTGACGCTGAAACCTCTCTCAGAGCTCCAGCCTTTGCCGCGGTTGTTGGTCACCATGAAGCCATTCAGTGGAAAGGGTCTGGCTCCTGACTCTGCTTCCCATTTGTTACGAGATGTTGATTAAGCCATCTAGCGTCTCTGGACCTCAGTTTCCCACCTGTAAAAATACGTGGACTGAACTAACTGATCTCTGAGTCCCTTCCAATTTAGAATTGTATCATCTGAGGTCATTTTCTGGTCAATTAGCCTTTCTGCTGCTCTAACACCAATCTGTGCTCTAAATACTAGCTCTGCCAAGAGAACTGGGCAAAGTTGGGTCCTTAAAAAGAAGCGAGGAAGATGGAGGAGGGAACAAAAGGCTGAGCGTTACTGTTAATGCTGGTTAAATATTTTCTAGCAACTCAATCCTAAGAGGCCAGTAAAAACACTGTCACACCATAACAAAAGAGACTTGTTTTCCATCGTCAAAAGCAATGGCAATTACACAGCTCCCAATCACAGAAAGCACAAGTGACTTTTCAACCTCCCCCCTTTTTTAACTTCTTGAACTTCTGATTTTAAAACAATGAACATTTACTATTTACATAAAGGAGAACCTGATTATCTTCATTTGCCAAGTTACTTCCTGCTCACATTTTAAAAAATATAATAGATGCATATTTTTTTTAGAAAAATATTATACCATAATATTTTTGGTACATAGCCAAAATCCCTTATGCCCAGCAGTAATGAGCATTTTCATGTCAAAAATGATCTCCTAGTATTTGTATGGAAAAAAAAATAACCAGTATCTTTTTTTTTTTAAGTCGTCAATATTTTAAAAATTATGTGTTGTTGTAAACAATGCTGTATATGCCTCTATACAAACTTGTCTATTTCTCTTTGGTTCATTTCCAGAAACAAAAACTTGGAGTCACATGTTCTAACATAAGCACATAGCCTACCACCGTCCAGGCAGGCGGGATCCATGCATACTCACACCAGCAAAGAATCATCCCCATGTCATCCCCAGCGTCACCAGTACTAACCACAATAGTGTTTTTTAACTTCCCCTGACAGACATCACAGGTAAGATCTATGGTGGGACCTGCAGTCATTTTAACCATCATGTCTTGGTTTAGCAGTAAAGATGAACGTCTCCCTGTGTTTGCTGCCCATCTGGACTGCTCCTCTGGCTAATTACCTACTTATGAACTTTGTACATTTCTTCTTCAATGTTAATATTTTTCTAAGGACTTAGCTTGAATGGAGGCCCAAGGTCACAATCAGATCTCTTGGGGGCTCCTGGCACTTTACTTGGCCACCGGATTCCCCTCCCTTCCAGTCTGCTGGGTTTTCTATACTGCAGGTCTCTCTCCCTTTACAGAAGCCCAGCTTCTGTGGGCGCCTGGCTTTCCTTATTTGGGGAATCATTTGAACAGTTCCACTCTTCTGTTTGTGGTTCTTACCAGGTCTGATTTCAACACCAAAAGGGACAGACATTATCACTTGAGGCCACTGACACGTCAAGGTTCAGAGGGCTTAGAAAGGTCCCAGAAGCACAGAGAGAGCCATCTGTCACCATCTAGACCAACCAAATTCCATTTTTCTAAAGGTGAACTGAGCTCAGGCAATACGGTCTCAAGCTCAAGTTTCTCTCTAACTTTCTGTGACAAGTGAGATTTGATAACATGAATGCAAAATGGAACACGAAATTCCAGTTTCACAGAGGCGGGGACCTTTTCACATGTTCCAAATGAAAGGGGAATAGACTTGGGGATCTACAGTGTTGAGGTGCCATCCTGTGTCTGCCACTGACTGACTGGGTGACAAAATCCACCTGATCTTGTCAAGCCTCAATTTCTTTTCTCCTATATTTTAAAATTGGTTCATTCGGGTTTTACGTACTGGTGGGATTTGCATTTATATATCCATACATGCACACAGTATAATGATACGATTTGACCAACATCATTCCCCAGAATTTCCTAAAGGGGATCTCTTGCCTCTCGGGAGAGACCCCTTAGCAGGGACATGAGACACGACCAGCTGTGCTCCTGCCACTGGCAGGCAGGACAGGATGATTTTTGGATTGGCAGATGTGGGTCTCCTTGACACACAAGCTGAATCTCCCTCCAGGAACATTATTGCATGATACAAAAAGGCTCAGAAATGGACACAAGGCTCTAAATATTTTTGATACAGACCAGGTAATGGCAATAACAAGGGCAGCCTGAGACCTCTTTGCCCAAAACCTGAGCACAGCCAGACCTGTTTTAAAATGAGAAAAAAGGATCCACTCCATTTAGCCCACCAACATCCACCACTAATGGAGTAAGCTAATCCTGGCGAACTCTTCATGGCGCTGTGGATGGGAAGGGGACAGAGCAGGACAAGCAGGACAGAGCCATCTGTGGCTAGTGACCCTCGGGCTGTGCGGTTCTATGACGTGGACATGAACAGTGGCACATAATCCCTGCCATGGTCCTATGAGATGTATGCTTCTCACACCTAGGTGGGGAATCTGAGGCACAGAGTCCCATGGGTAGCACCTCCCTGCAGTGCTTTCCTTCTGTTCATCAGTACGAGGCCTTGATCATTTTTATATACATGTTCCTAGTCCTGGTGTGTATAATAGTCATTTTACAGTTTCTGTCATGTGACACAGGCCCAAGGAGATAGTTCTCTTCCCCAATTCTACAGATCTAGGTTACTCTTAACTACAGGACAGGAAGCAGTTACGTGATCTGTAATTTTTAAAAACCTGCTAAGAAAGGAGTCAGAACCACTCCCGTGATAGACCTTAACCACGTGGTGCAGTTGGAACAAAAAGAATTTCTACTGAAAATATCTCCTGGGCCTTGGCAAGTCATTCCTACTCTTATGGTCACTGCATAGTTCATTGAGAAATGGATCCCACAAAGACTGCACAGGACAGGCTCATGAATATTGTCCTCAGTAGGTGCTGGCTCATCCTGAGAAACCAAGATGGATGTTGAGGGGACAGCTCCTGAATCAGACAGTAACCCTCATACAGTGGTGCCAGGTGACAGGTGTGCTGTGCCTGGAGCACAGTGTTACTCTGCACCTCAGATTCCCCAAAGGCTGGGTATAGGGGGGCTTGACCTTGCAGGACCAGGCATATCAGTCGCCATTACAAGGAAGGGTCTCTGACGAGAGGAGGCATAGGACACGTAAACATCTTAACACCTGGTACTCACCAGCAAACTGTAGAAGAATTCATGGACGAAGAGTCCCATGGCACAGATCAACAGATACAGCAGGTGATATAGGAACTCGACATCTAGAACCATGGCTCGGTAGCCTCTGGTGAACGTCCCACAGTTGCCCACGAAGCTCATTAGAAAGATGATTTTATTGCAGACCTGAGAACCAGGACAGAAGAGTTAGATGGCACAGACCATGCCAAAGTGTGTGTGTGAGCCCAGGGAGATTCTCGCGCAAATGCAGTTAGGTTCCACCGCCTGACAAGAGCTTGCTTTGGTGCCAAGTGCCCACCGTGTCCAAGAACCATTCTGTAGTTCCAAGTCACTTCACTACTTTGCTTTTTCAGGCATATTACAAATTGCACAGTAGTCAAACGATGTCATGTGCAATGGTAATCAAGTAGCATTTGTATATGGCAAAAACAAAATTAACACATACTGAGATTATGATTTTCAAAATGAGATATGAATCATTTCTAACATTCTTACGTGAGTTAGTCAAACACAGAAGTCACCTCTACCCACGAACTTCATGATCAGCATGATTAGAAGTGTTTTCTGAATCTGTTACATTCTAGGCATTATAGGGTTGCAATTTAATGAGAAGCAGGCAATTCTTGTCTTTCAGTGCTTCTAAATTTATAGGGAAAATAAGAACTTTGGGGGGAAAGCAAATAAGTAATGTCAAGATGAGTTCAGTTTCCCGGCCCCTTCTTCTGGGAATCACTTCTAATTTCCCTGGGGGATCCATCCCTTTCCAGGAATCGGTTCTTGAGGTCTGGGTGGGGCTCCACCCTGAGCAATCAGAGTACTGGAATCTTCTGGGATTGTGCTACTGCATTGTTCAGGGATAGGCACGTGACCAAAGGGAGCCAATAAAGTCTACTGAGCCCTTCCCGGGCATAGCAGTACAAGACAATTTTGTCTCTCCCCTTGATCTTAACAAGACAGAATAACCTCTGGAGCTTTTGGCAGCCTCTTACCATACCACAGATCCAGAGAGCACAACCAGTACACAGGACACACAGATCTGAAAGAAGGGACATAGCAACAGGCCCTGATGCCACTGTCTGAGCTCCTATAATCAGCTATGCCTGAAGCCAGGCTCTTGATTTTTTTTTTTTTTGGTCAAAATCAACCAATCCATTGTCTCCTCTGCATAGACTTTCTGGTACCTGTAACTGAAGGAGTCCTAACTGATCTGCTCTGTACAACAGTCCCACCTTTGCTAGAAACTCCGCTACTAGAAGTCCATCGCTTCAACAGGTTGATAGAAAAACTTGAATCGGGGGAGGCTGGACAGAAAGCACCTTGGACACCCTTGGTAAAGCCACTTTCTGCTACCCCAGCTCCCCTGGCCTCAGGTGCTGGGAAAATTCTGCCAGTTAACCTGTCAGGTCAGTGTAACAGAGCCTCTCAGCAATCAGAGAGGCAGTACCCAAGAGAACTTCTGGCTTTCTGGGGCTCCGATGTGCAATCTGCGTTTTTTTTTTTTTTCCCCCAATATTTTCATCTTTGCTGATGAGGGTCTTCCCTAGGGTGGGCACACATTGCCGACTCTGGATGATGCATATTGATGGGGTTTTGGGGAAGGTCCAAGGAGGCAGGGAGGGTACTAGGATACTGGTTAATATCACTGGATGCAACAGCTCCTGTCATCGCAACAGGAAGGAAAGCAATCCACTTCCCCCGAATCCACTTGATCCTTTAACTTCCATTGCTACCCAGCAAACATCTCCTGTACATGGGTGGTCTCGTGCTGTCTACTCCCTACCCACTCTGCCTGGCTGGCCTTCTGTTTGCTTCCAGCTCCACCCTGCTACAGAAGCAGCCCTTGTCAAGTCCCCCAGGGAGGCTGCCATCTTCTATCTGCATCTTCCCCTGTCTGCTCTGAGCATCTGTCTGAGCTCCCCACAGCACAACAGGGCTCACCACCCCGTCCCTCTCAGGACAACGGCACGCTCAATGTGCAGGACACCAGCCCAGCCTCCCCCAGCTCTCAGACCTCCAGCGTTCCTCCTCTCTTTATCTACGACCATCTTCCTTCTCCCATATGCTTCTGGTGGTTGGTCTGTCTCTCAGATCTCCTCTAAATATTAATAACTGTCTGGCTCTTTCCTCCTCTAGCAATTATTATTACACAAGAAAATTGTCTAATTTGAGACTTTCCCATAAGCGATTTACATTACAGAAGTGATGACCACAGGATGATTAAAGTCTGGAGTAAAAGAGAGTGAGGCAGTCCAGAGAAGACGACCTCTAAGACACTGAGGTCTTCCTTTCCATCCATCTATCGACGCACCCACCCATCCAGTATTTCTTCATCAATAGCTTCCTCTTGCTGTTGGTGATCCCCCTCCCCACCAACATCTCTCTGCCACTTCTGGCCAGGCTTTTCCATATGTGACAGTTGACAGGATTAGCACATCTTGTCATCTCAAGCCCAATAAGTCACCAATGTGAATGTGTTTTCACCACGAAAACTCAATATTTTCATGACTTCCTTTTAGCTTTTAGCCAGTGTTATTCTTCTCTCAGTCACCCTTGACTGGAAACCTGAAGTCCTATTGGTCTCCTCCGTCACACAATGCCTTCTTGTCCTGAAGAAGAGGACCCAGCTGCACCTCGGTGGGGGAATGCCCTGACTCTGAAGCCCCACCCAGGACTCTTTCCTTCCCATCAGTGTATACTGTACACTACGACCTGGGCTCAGGCTGGCCACACCTGATCAAAATCACCCCAGGGCCTCCCTGCCTCCGGAGTCCACACACCAATGATGACCTTTCTGAAAAATACCTTCGTGTGTACCAATGGCTTGGCTCAAAAACACTTCTCACCAATAGGAACAGAGTTTCCCAGCATCTACTCGATGCAAAACCAGTCCCCAGTAATACTTAAAACAACAACAACAGAAACAATCACAGGCAAACGTGGGAAACACAAATATGTGAGTTCCCTTTCCTGGAGACTCAAAATCCATATAAGTATATTAAAGTCTCTGAAAAGTCCTCTGGTCAGAGATACCCTTCAATTTTATTTAATTTCTCACAATGACTTGACTACTTTTTTTTTTTTGTTTTGACCCAACATTTATCAAGTCGGGTCATACTTTAGAAATGTGGACCTGAGGATGAAGTCTAAAAGCTTCTTCCTAAAGGCGACTCATACACACAACCACGAATGAGGTCCACCTCAATCTCTAACGATCTCTGGCTCACACCCAGGTGTCCTCGCTGCTCTGCGCTGGCCAACGAGGCCTACGACAACCAGAATGCTCTTCTCGGTTCCTGTTCTCTGGCTGTGCCCTTCAAGACACAACTTAACCCTGATTCCTCCCGCTAAGCTTATCTTCTCGACATGGTCTCCTCTCCAGAGTTCTTGCTGCCTGCGCCATAAAAAGACCCAGTTGGGGACATGGTTACCTTATTTGGTAAAACCACCTCCACTGTTGCACAGGGACCTCAGCTTCCTTATACACTCGGGATACAAAACTCTGGACGGTACTTTCAGACACCGATAGTATCTCACATGGCCAAATTTCATCTTTCCCCTCACCAGACACCCTGTCCCATGAATGGATTGACGTCACTTACCTCCACCTCCCGATTGCTCCTGAAGAGGCACGGGACTTCTCTCCAGCGTACCAAAGCAGCATTTCCCGCAGCACCACCGACTCACTAACTGTCCCTGGTGCTCTTCTTACCTCTCCAGCTGCTCCACCAGCTCTGGACACTCCCATTCACCTCTCTCCTCTTTTCTACATGGCTCCCACCAGAAATGGTGCGGGGTTAATATCTGCTTGTTTGACTTATGGGCAAACCTTTGGCCAGATTGCCGAAGCTACCTGAAATCTCAGCATGTATCACCCTATCTGCCTCACTCCCGGGAGGGATAGTCCCTAAAGTTGAGCCTGTCGACGCCTGGATGATGCACCAGGAGGCTCGAATGCCCCAAGAAGGCCGAGAGGGAGTGTGCAGCCGTGACCATCTCTTCCTTTTGTTGTTTTATTTTTGATAATGGGGGACTGAACCCAGAGGCGTTTTACTACTGAGCCACATCCCCAATCCCCCCACCCCACTTTTTTTTTTTTTGAGATTGGGTCTTGCCTATTTGCTGAGGCTGGTTCTGAACTTACGATCCTCCTGCCTCAGCCTCCGGAGTCACTGGGATGACAGGTGTGCTCCACTGTACCCAGTCCTTCTGCTCTTTTAGCAGCTGACATAGGCAAAATCTTTCTTTTTCTTGGATTGAAAGCTGAGGCTAAGATGCCAGGCACCCGAACGGAAGGCGTTAACCCATGAACAGCAGCAACCAGGACACTCATACTTACGTTGAACGCTCCCAGCAGAAACAACGTGGGTTGCAGCCCAACTGAAAATATCAATCGTAGAATTGTGGAAGCAATCAAGGCCCGGATGCCATGGGGCTTGGGTAGGGCAATGACGATGGCCAGGGAGATTAGCATTGCTGTCCACAGGAGGCCTGACCAGTGTGGCTCCAGCGTCCCTGGAAGGCAGAGCAGGGCTCTCAGGGATCAGTGCTTTCCTGGAGTGTGGGCAAAGGTCAAGGCAGCTCTGCTAACGTTTTCTTCAGTCCCCGGCTAGCCTTGTCTGTTCCAACTGTCACCTCAAACTCTCTGCCACGGATACATGCGGTCACATCTGTGTTTTCAGACTTCCCAGCCACCACCACACGTTTTTCCCCACGTGGGGAACTCTTTCTTCCTATGCATGGTAGGTTTAGCTGAGAGGTGACCCCTTCTGGGAAGTCTCCCCCACCCCTTCCTCCTTGCAGAATTTACAATCCAGCTGTTCCCTCCAGCTCCACATGATCAATGTGTGTTTCTCTCACTCTCCAGACTCTAAATTCCCCGAAGGAAGTGTCTGGTGCCAGGAGGCCCTCACCAAAGGCTTGTTCACTGACTACAACTCATACCTGGGTCCCGACTCACTCTCAGGCAGGACCAACAGGAAGCCTGAGCTTACTTTCTATTAAAAGTGATGCAAAGGAACACTGCAGGTCCCCTGCCTGAATCGGATTTCTTCAAGGGAAAGAGGAAGACAATTTCCGTATCATGAGCATCATCCTACAATTAGATTATCCCTGCAGTCAAAGAGACTCTACCACTTTTTGTCATCTCTTGCTATTGCAAGTTCTATTTAGAGTGTCCCACGAGATGGCTTGGTTATATAACACGAGCCAATGTGGCTAAAAATACAGTTCTGTAAAACACTCATTAAAAAAAATAAAACACCCCTATTGCAAATGCTGTCACATCTTGAGTCTCCTTCGGATGTAAACAAGCAGCAATACATGATTAAGGCCACTTATATAAAGGGGTTTCACATCGTCAGGATGGCTGGGATTGCAGCACCGTCCAGGGAGAGACCAGTACACAGACTCCGGCTCTTGCACAAGCTGCTGGCCGCCCTCTGCACTGAGGCCACAGATGCCTGCACAGATGCACTGTCTCCCCCCACAACTCTTCCCCCAGACCCAGCCACTTCGCTCCCAGCCCCTTAACATTCTTCAAAAGGAAAAGCTGATTAGAAATGAGCACGAAGAGTCACAAGCTCTTCAGAAATCCAAAGTGTCACTTTGTGCACATTTAACAATTACTGAACATCTTATTGGCCCCTTGTTGTTAACTGTCATTTAATCTGTCCTCTCGACTATGCTGTGAGGTTGCTACCGGTAGCTCTACTTTTTTTTTTTTGCAGTGCTGGGGATGGAACCCAGGGCTTTGCGTGTGCTAGACAAGAGCTCCGCTGTTGAGCCACATCTCTAGCTCTCCACTTTACTCTGAAGGAAACTGAATCTTGGGTTACATATTTTGTCCAAAGAGAGAGTGTGAATGGCTGGAGTTTACATGTCTCTAAAGTTCATGGTGTGTAATCATCATTTAAATAAAAAAATCTACCCATGCCAGGTACAGTGGCACATGCCTGTGGTCCCAGCAACTTCGGAGGCTAAGGCAGAAGGATTGCAAGTTTAAGGCCAGCTGAGCAACTTAGTGAGGCCCTAGGCAACTTAGCGAGACCCTTTCTCAAAATTAAAAAAATAAAAATTGCTGGGGATGTGGTTCAGTGGTTAAGCACCCCTGGGTTCAAGCCCCAGTGTCAAAAGAAAAAAAAAAAATCACCTAATTTAAAGGTTGGATTTGGTGAGTCTTGGCAGTGTATGTAGCCATGCCAGTTGAAACTGGGCCCACAATTGAGATACAAAATATCATCATCCTAAAGTTTCCTTGTACCTCTCTGCTTTCCATGTTTTGCCCCAACCCCTCCCACTGATGTGCTCTTCTGCTATGCTAGTCTTTCATTTTCTAAAATTTTATAAAAATGGGGGGAAAGTACACAAGTAGGTAGTCTTATGCACCTGAATTCTTTCACCTATCAAACTTTTTTGAGTCAGTCAGGTGACTCTACTGATATTTCATTATTTTTATTGCTCAGTAATATTCCATAGAATGGATACACTATAACTTACCTATCCATCCATCCAACAATGAAAGGATATGTGGGTTACTTCCAGCTTGGAGCTGTTATGAGTAATGTAACCAGAACACTCAAGTGAAAATCTTGGAGCAGATATGTTTCCATTTCTCTTGGACTAAGGTGAGGAAGGAGACTGCTGGGTTTTAAGTATAGGTGTAATTTTATAAGATACTATCATACTGCTTTCCCAAGTGACCGTGCATATCAGCATATGGCATATGAGTGTTCTTCTGGTCCCACATCATCACCAGTACTTGGTATTGTTGGTCTTTTTAGTTCACCCATTCTAGTAGATTTGCAGTGATGTGTCATTGTGTGTGTGTGTGTGTGTGTTTAAATGTCTTTTTTCTTTAATATTTATTTTTTAGTTAGGTGGACACAATATCTTTATTCTACATTTATGTGGTTCTGAGGATGGAACCCAGTGCCTCATGCATGCTAGGCAAGCACTCTACCGCTGAGCCACAAACCCAGCCCTCATTGGTTTTAATTTGCATTTCCCTAACAACTAGTAATGATGAATGTCTTTTCACGTGCTTATTTGTATGTATGTGTGTTGATGTTGTTGTTATTATTATTTACAGTGCTGAGGATCAAGTCCAGGGCCCTGCACTTGGATAGGAAAGAGTCCTGCCACTGAGCTATGCACCCCTGGTCCTATGTATCTTCTTTTATGAACTCTCTGATCAGATACTTTGCCCATCATTGTAAATGGGGCAGGCTTTATGTTATTAAGTTTTAAGGATTCTTCATATGTTGTGGATATAAGTCTCTAATTAGATACCTGTTTTCTAAGTATTTTTCTCCCAGTGTCTGGCTTACCTTGCATTTTCTTAAGCACATGAACACCACTTAATATCTCAGTCTAATACATATAACCATATATGCAGATCCTGAAGAGGCCAATGTAAAAACCTGTCTCCCCACTATAAAAGCCGTGTTAAAAAAGAGTGCTGGATTCCAAAAAGCAACTCTAGAATTTCTAGACATCTTTGAGACAGCTGGAGAAATCTGAATTTGGACAGACTATTACAGGATTTACTGTTAGTTCTGTTAGATATGATAATGACATGGTGATTATACAGATTTTAAAATATGCTTATAAGTTAGAGAGGCACACTGAAATATTTATGGTCAAAACAACAAGATGTCTAAACTTCTTTAAAATGTTTCAGAAAATATAGCAGGGGGATAGATGAAACAAGACTGGCAAAATGTTTATTTTTAAAGCTGGGCTGATAGGTACATGTGGGTCATTATATTGTGCTGCCTACTCATGTGTGTATTAGAAAACTTCCATATAAAAAAGTTTAAAAAGTAGTACTGCATTTGCTTTAATCATGATGGCATGCCTACAAATTCAGGAAGCATCTGAGCCTGCCCAAGTGTCACGCTTTTTAAAGACTTAGCTACTCACCAATTCTGATTTTTGTTGTTGTTGTTTTGTGGTGTTGGGGATTGAACCCAGGGCCTTGTGCATACGAGGCAAGCACTCTAACAACTGAGGTACATCCCCAGCCCCGACAACTCACCAATTCTGAAATGAAAGGGGATGGAGGGGGCTGGGGAGATGATACTTTTGAAAAGGAGCTTTTAAGGCCACTGCTGTTCTTGGCAGCCATGTCTGATGAGCCACAGAATCACATGGCACACACTATAAGGTCATTATTCACAACCAAGAGGGACATTTTGGAAATTCTGTTCTTAAGATGCCAAAAATCCTTGTGTGTGTATGTGTGTGTGTGTGTGTTTTGTGGCAGTGGGGATAGAAACAGAGACCTGTGCATGTGGGCAAGTGGTCTACACTGAGCTGTAACTCCAGCCCCTAACAGATATGGATCTCAAAAAAATATTTTCAGGTCAATGGACCAGATGTTATTTCTAGTCAGGGTTAATACAAGCCTTCTCCTCCAGAGGTTTACTGGTTAAGTATAGCAAATGCCTTCAACACATGTTACAAAAGGAAAAAATAACCTGAGGGTGAACTGATGTGCTTTAGGTAACTTCAGTCACCATATGGTGGAAGGACAGAAAGGGCCCCCTTAGGTCACACTGACCTCCCTTCCCTCCCAGGAGATCTGGTCCTGCTGTCCCACATGCCCACCCCATGAAATCCTGAAGCCCATGTTTTCCAAACAGGAAGCCTTGTCTCCCATGGGTTTTTAAGATGCCAACTCAGAGGGCACCATGTTAGAGTTAGAAGGACCCTCAGCAATTAGCTCATCCAGTGGGTCTCAAATTTGATGGGAAAGAAGCAGGAGGCTCCAGGGAACCATGACTAGGTTACTAGTTTTCCCTGAATTCTGCAGGAAGTTCAACAGCCACACTCAAGTCTCCCAGCCTCTAGCTTGGTGTCAGTATCCAGAAATGCAGAGGCACGTGACCAGGAGCCAAGGAAGTGGCCTGCCCGGAGGTGGAATGGCAGGGCCAGGCCTGGGCGCTAAGTCTCTGGACTTCTTTGACCACGAATTCCACTGTAGAAAGCTTAACACTGAAAGGTGAGGCCTGTCAACCCACTGTCCCCAGATGCTGGCCTGAGTGCTGCCACAAATAACCAGAGAAGAAAATGGTTACAGTGAGTAATAAAAATCTCTTTGAAACATTTTTTTTTTAAATCAAAGGTAAATACAAACATAATCAAGGCAGTGGCTAAATAACCTGTTTTGACGAGCAGGAGTCAGTGCCTCCATCACAGCCAATGGAGTTCTCCACTGAACCCTCTCCTGTTCACACCCCTGCCACCTGGCAGCTTAGTGAGGGCAGACACCCCTCAGAAAATAGCTTGCAGCCCTGTGTTTCTGTCAGACCTTTTCAGACATGGGTGCTCATGCTTCCTGAAATAGCATTTAAAAGAAAAATGCTGCTCGGCTCAGTGGCCACACCTGTAATCCCAGCAACTCGGGAGGCTGAAGTAGGAGGATTGCCAGTTAGAGGCCAATCTCAGCACCTGAGCAAGGCCACGTCTCAAAATAATAAATAAAAAGGACTAGGGATGTGGTTCAGTGGTGGAGTGCCTCTGGGTTCAATCCTCAGTACCCCAAACCAAAACATAACAACAAAAAAATGGGGTTAAGATGATATTTCAAGTTCAATAACTCCTTCTCTTTCTTTCTTGGCTAAAAAACACATACATAGTAATAGATTATTTAAATTATTTTAAGTTAGACTTAAAACTAAAAGCTACCATCTCATTCTTGCCTGAAAATGGGGACCTGCGATCCTAAACGTGGCATAAATGCTTCCAGGGACAGTACTAAGGGTGTAGGTCACAGCTGTCCAGTTGCATCTACTCATTTTTTCAAAATTTAAGCCATCGGTACCTCCTCGCACTCCTTTAAACGGGTAGAAGAAGGCCACGAGCAGGTTCATCAGGACGGCCAGGTTGAAGGAGATGCTGCTCCAGAAGGACATGTTGCGGGCACACCAGTAGAGGACAGGCTGGGCTGTGGGAGGGCAGAGGCCATGTCAGAGAGCTGGAACTCCACAGCCCCTCCTCCCCTCCGTCCCCTCCAGTCCACTTGTGCCACTGGTTTCCTTCTCAACAGTAAAAACGATCATTTGTTTCCAAATTGGCACGCAGTGACATCTCATCGGTTCATTTCTATTTGGAGAACTCGGGAACAGAAGGCCTATTGGGGGACACTGAAGAGGAGGAGGAGACAAGTTGGGACATCTGAAAGCCCTGCGTGCCCCAGTCAACAGCACCAGCTGCAGGGGCTGGGGGTCATCCAGGGTTCATGCACGGAGGGCCTAGTTCCCCTCGGGCTGCTGGGACCGGATGAGATGCCCAGAGAGACCCAAGAATTCAATTAGGTCTCTAGAAATGTCGGGGAGACACAGCACTCAGAGTTGGTCCAGTTGGGCCTCAAACAAGGACTGGTCCCCTTTTCACATCCCTCCTGGCTCTTAATGCCCCACAGCAGAACAACAATCCCCTTCCCAACACTGAGTCACTTGCCGCTTCCCTGAAGCCTGATGGTCACTCTCAGGGGGCCGGGGAAGCAGGAACACAGGCTGCCGACTAGGTGGTCAGCTTGGAGTCCACGTTCCCAGCGGCTCCAGGAGAGAAAGGGTGTGGCACCATGTGTCACACAGGGGCAAGGCACCCTGTGGAAACCACTGCCTTCTCAATCCATTGTGCCCTACGGTGACACCATGTGGGCTGGATAGTCTCAGAATAACAAGGCTGTGTCCATGCTCGGCGGCTCCAGGGCACCTTTTCCATTGGTGCCAGGGTGGAGCTGATTTCAGTGTAGCACTAGCATCTCACTCAACATCAGCCTCCCCAGAGACAATGGAGCATGTGGGCAGGGGTCCCTCGCATGCTTTTTTTTTTTTCCCCTCCTTCCCCAGTGAAGTCATCATTTAACTTCAGCACAGAGGCCAGTGACAAACCCTATGGCCCTATAATGATACTTGCAGCTGCCAAGCCTTTGGAAGCTTCCCTTCTGAACTAAGTTAGGGTCCAACCAGACAGATCCCTGGGTGCTTAACAATCGCTCACAGCAGGTCTGTACTTGGTAAGAGGCGCTGTTTCCTAACTGCAGAGCCGCAACCCAGCCTTCAGATTAAGAGGCCTCATTTAACACACAAGGGAATGCCCAGCAATGCGTGGAGGGTGTGGCAATGCCATCACCCAGGGGATCGATGCTCTGGGGTCAGTGCCGGGGATCAAGGTAAATGGCTTGTGTGACCACTCCAGAGAGGCCGACCAGGATCCGGCCAATCACTGGGTAATACTTCATCTTGAGGAAGCGAACTTGAGAAGAAAGATCATCTGGCTTTGAAAACAAAAGCAACTGCGATTCTTTTGGGGCTGATGCCCCCTTTCTGATCTAGATACGAAAACTCCAGAACTGGAGGGAAGAGATGAACGGTAAGGAGGTGCTGAGGCTAAGGAACAGGCACAGAGTCGCAGCATCTCTCCCCATCATGGATGTACCAAAAGCAGGTGGTAAGTTGCGGGGTTGGGGAAGGAGCCGGCAAAGCCCAGGATGGTCAGAGAGCCAATGTGAGTGTCCGTCGTAGGATACCTCAGTACAACCTCGAGAAATGTGCAGTTCACAAGTACATCTTATTTTTATAAAACTAGCATTCTACTTAAATTGTGCTACCATTTTGAATCTGAACAAACATTCAGCCCTTTAAACCAAGTGGCATTAATCCAAGAGCAAGAAGGTACATCGAGACCCACCTGGAGGTGCCATCTCTTATTTCCTGGGGCACGTGGAACAGTATTCCATCCACCTGCCTGGACCCTCTCCTTCTTCCCTTCCCTGTCCTTTGCATCCCAGTCTGGTGATGGTTCTGTCTATACAGGTGCTGTCCCTCAGGGCTCCCTGTGCTCTCTGTGAGGATCTAAAACCATGTCCACAAGGTCTCTGATGCTCCTCCCTTCACAAGGTGTGGCTAAATTCCCCTCCCCTGAGCGTGTGTGGAGCCAGCAACTCACTTCTAATAAACAGCACACAGCACAACCGCTGGCACCTGACTTCTAAGGGTAGTCACGAAGGGCTCTGTGGCCTTCCTCACTCTCTGGACTCGGCCATTGGCTCTGCTGGGTTGTGAGAACTTGCAGCAGATTCACCCAGAGGCCCGTGTGCAGGGGAACTGAGGCCCCTGCCAACAGCCACCTGAGTGAGCTAACAACAGGTGGATGTTCCAGTCCAGGCAAGTGCACAGATGGTGGCCCTGGCTGGGGTCTCAGTTGAAACACTCTGAGTCAGAACCATCCCCCTAAGCTACTCCCAAATTCCTGACCCCAGAAAGAGGTGAGAAAAATCAATATTTATTTTTTCAAGCCACTAAAATTTGGTGGGTAACTTGGTACACAGTGAGGAAATGCAATGAACATGCATTCTACAGTAGGCAAAATGATGGGCCCTAAATGTCCCTATCCTAATCCTCAGGGCCTGTGACTGTCTTACCTTACATGACAGAAAGGACCTGTAAGTCCTTGCATGTGAAAGACGGAAGCAGGAGATTCAGAGCCAAAGCCATGCAGCACAAGAAGGGTTCTGCTAGACACTCTGGGCTTTGGGGAGGGAGGGGACAAAAGCCCAGGACCTCAGGCAGCCATGGCTCTACCAATTTGATATCAGGCTCGTGAGAATGGTGTTGTAGGCACCAGAGTTCGTGGCCACTGGTTTCAGCAGCAAGAGGAGACAGATACATCTCCCCTTCCTGCAGGCTCTCTGGCTGTGCTAAGTCCCCACTTCCCATCTAGATGCTATTCCGGTCCCACCTGTCCTCCCAAGTCTTCCTTTCCCATATTCACATAACCTGCCACTGCCTGATTACAGGCCTAATCGTAATCAGCTTGGTATGGAAGCCACTTAAAATATGCCTGTGTTCTCTGCCCCCTTCCAGAGGAAGGAGCCACGACCTTCGCATGTTGGGTTCTCCACTGTAACCTGCAGCATGTTTTCTATGTCCTTGGGGGCTAAAAGTTGCCTGGATCAACAACATCCTGCCACGTCCAGCAAGACAGTGGGATGCCGTGACCCCAGATGGGCGAGTGATTTGACTCACTATACCTAGGACACGTTTTGGTGACACTCTTTCCTAGCCTTTTGCTTAAAGGAACTGGGCTTTGCTAGCTGACCTGGATTCCACATATATGCGTATAAGCAGCATTTCCCAGCTCTGTGCCCATCAGAGTGACAGTCACAGGGCACAGGCGTCAGCATGTGCAACTCTATCTCAGTTTCCTCTTCTAGTTTTCACAGCCCAGTCTGGACTTCACCAGAGCTGTGACCTTCAGGAAAGGATGTCAGAGCGGGAGGCAGAGGCAGGATGCAGGTGGGAAAAGGGTGTGTGTGCCTGCGTGCCTGCTGCGTGTGCTGGGTAAGCAAAGCAGAGAACAGGGTTTCTACAGGGCAGAGCAACTAACTGGGTGTCTCAGTTGTTGCAGAAGAAAACACTAAGCAATGTTAACAGTGGAGTCTCGGCTACAGATGTCCCAAAGCACAGGTGACGTTCAGTAAAAGGTAAAGCTGAGCTGCTATGTGAGTAAGCCAGAAAAGACCTCTTCTGCAGAATTACTAGAAGAGAAGACAGACCCTTGGAAGGGGAGAATGCATTTCAACTTCACTGCACTTCTAATGAGTATACTTCTCCCCTCCCTAGATACGCAAATCATGTTTAATTCAGTTATTATTTTCAATTTCTCTCTTACCAGCGGATAGCTTTGAAGCCAATTAAAATCTTCCAGTTGACAACTATACTTGTGTTTAAGCTTCACAGAAACAAAAACTGTTTTCCAAAAACAGAAAGACTGAAAATAAAGGAAGGCAGGAGTGACACTGTGATATGAATCTGGGAATGCCGAGATGGCCATTCTGGAATAAAAGGAGTCCAAGAGGTCATCCTGCTCCTCGCCTTATGGATGAAGGTCTGGGAGCAGTTAACCCACCTGCTGGGGGCCACAGAGCTGGTGGGTGGCAGAGAGAGAATGGAACTGGACATCCTCCTCCTTGGGGCTGAGGTCCCCCCAATCCCCCCAGCTGGAGACACCATCTCAGAAAGAGTGAGACATGAGACACCTTAACAGAAAGGTCTCTGTTGGTTTACCAGATTTTTAGAGAGACTAACACACACATACACCCCCTATATATATATGGATTGACGAACAATTCTGGGAGAAGAAATATATCTGATCCACTCAGCAGCCACATTCACTGATAAGTATGAAATTAATCTATAAGGTTTGGAGGCATGAAATCGGGACCATTCCCTAAAGCTGCGACTGTGGAACATCGCGCTGACAGGCAAAAGCCACAAAGCAGTTCTCTCCTCTCTCTAGCACAGAACTAGAAAGGTGAGCCCGAGGCACGTGGGGCTTTTCTCCTCCTCGTGGCAGGGGCATCTTTTTCTTACAGCCCAGCATGGTGCTATCAGGAGCGCCAGTGTTCACCGTGATGCCCGAATTGGAAGAGTGTCAGAGGAATCCACAGGAGGCTCCAAGGACAGGCTGACAGCGGTAGAATCGCGCCTGTATCCTCTGAGGTCTGTACCAAGGAGGATACCCATGCTCGCTGCTGTGAGCCCTTGCTCCCTGGGTCAGGCTCGAGACATGTGGGTACAGGATGGTGTGGCCCAGAATGTTTTAAGATGCCCCTTAGAGACGGGCGAGAATGGAATAGGGATGAGGTGAGGTGGGAATAGGACCTTTTGGCCAATCTGCTTGGACAACCTTCTTTGTCACTAGCAAAGCTAAGGATGCAGGTGGGTGAGGAGAAAAGCAAAGCAGCAGCAGAGGAGGCATGTCTGGTCCTCAGATTAGCAGGGATCAGGGAGAGGACGAGAGTTCCCCGAAACTGACCTATGACACATCTCTCCCCAACCCCAGTCGCACCCCATAGAAAGAGCCAAGAAGATCACAGTGGTAGCTGGACTTCAGCGTTTCAAATAAAAGCCTGGCTCCTGACAGACAGAAATAAAACAGGATCCTTTTTGAGTTGGCCACAACAGCTGGTGCCAAGCTTGTCGTTGGGGCTGAAGGACCACATTAAACCCCTAATGAAAACCAGGAGCAGGGGAGCCCCCTGCGGAAGCCCTATAAAGGTGCCTACCATGAGTCATTTCAGCCAGGCCTGCCTGGGCCTCTCCACAGAACTCACTGGAGGGCAACCATGTGTCGTACATAAAAAGTTATTCTACTGCTCATAAAATGATTGAGAGCCTCAAACCTGAGCTCCTCAGTATGAGGGGAAACATGGGAGTCTCCAGAGCAGGTGTGCTAGTAAATGAGCAATCAGGCCGAGTGCACTTCCTGCCCACTGAACCATCCTGGGCGCTCAAGGGCCTGGTCTTTCATCGCTCTCTTTATTTATTTATTTATTTATTTGGTGCCAGGGATTGAACCCAGGGATGCTTGAATCACTGAGCAACATCCCCAGCTCCTTTTTAATTTTGACACAGGGTCTCGCTGAGTGATTTAGGGCCTCCCTAAGTTGCTGCAGCTGGCCTCCAACTTGCAATCCTCCTGCCTGAGCCTCTTGAGTTTCTGGGATTACACCATGCCCCACCTCTATTTCTGACATGGAGATTACAACAAAAAAGGGCATTCTAAGTCATCCATGGAACTGCCACACATCCAGTCAGGACAGATGCTACATGAAGGAAGCCTCTCTGGGGAACTGCCACACTGAGGCTTGGCCCCATTTATCAGCAACTGAAGGGCCACTGGCCTCTGGGAAAGCACATAGATGACCCCCACGTGGCTTCTCTTGGGAGGCAGAGGCACCCCCCAGCTCGAGTCCATGAGACGCCCAGGACCACACCTCTTAGGAACAAGTCCCCCGCGCTGGGACCCACCTCGCAGCTTCTTCTGCCAGTTCATTTCGTTGAAGAGGTCTTCCGAGCGCAGGAAGAAGTCGTTGATCTTGCTACCCTGCTCGTCCCGCTCCGTGGTGTAGTATATTCGCAGTTTTGACTCCTTGGTTAGGAATTCACATATGCTGGGTACTGGGAAGACAATCTGTTCCATCGTTCGGTCTAATCGGACAATCTGGGGTAAAAACAAAGGAGAGACTCAGCGGTCGCCTCCGACACCTTGTGCAGGCTGCAGGCTGCTGGAGGACTTGGGGTTAGAGGTTCAGAACAATAAAGAACAAACTTTTCAGATTCCATGACTTTGGCTGGGCCGTCTCTCTCAGACTAATGTAAAAACCAGTTCTGGTTAACTCTGCTTTTCTAACCTCAGATCCCATTCGTTTTAATGTGACCAGCTTTTACCTGAAACTCACATTGCGTTTCACATACATATTCACATGAGGCTGCTATTGCCCGACAGAACTTTCTCTAAGATGGGATGGTTCTCCATCTATGCTGCCCAGGAGGACGGCGGGCTACAGGTGGCCTCTGGGCATTAGCGTGCATGCTTACTGCAACTGAGGAGCTGAATATTCCGTTATATTTCATTTTCTTCTCAGCAGCCACACAGAACTCTCACACTGGACGGAGCACTGATGGGCCACGGTGTAACCTAAGATCCTTTCTCAGATAGCAAAGCTGAGTTATTCTGCCAGAGGAACTTTATGCAGAGACCTTTGGTTTACATCCCACTGCAGTGACCTCCTACCTCTTACCTGTCAGGGCATCTAAAACGTATGGTATGTGAGCCAAGGTGTCCATGTGATCTGGGATGGCCTCATTGTCTTCTAAGCTAGCTTTGTTGGGCCCCTGGGGTGCCGGTTACCTTAGACAGGTTCAGGGAGCAGAGAGGACAGTCTGTTCTGATTGTCCAAATTCTAGGACACTGTATAGTCCCGGGCAGGTGTAGAAATTTCAAAAGGACAATGGGCCACAGGACAGAGGAGGCATGACCTCTCTTCAGTTTTCCTGCTCAGAAGGTGGAGAAGTCAGGTGAGGCCCAGGGCCAAGGCCCTATAATAAGAGCTGGTTCTTATTCTCCCAATTACTTTGAAGCAAGAGACACGACTCAGGTCACGGCGTGGTGCTGTTGTGGTGTGGGTGCAAGGTGCCCCCTAAAAGCTCTTGTGTTCACGCAGGAATCCGCAGGGTGAAATGACTGGACTGAGAGCTGCAGCCTCGGCAGTCCATCCTAATGGGCTGATGGGGTCCCAGTGACTGCAGGCAGGTAGGGTGTGGCTGGAAGAGGTGGGTCACTGGGGGTGTGCCCTGGAAGGGTGCATCGTCCCTGTGGCCCCTGGGTCCCCTCTCTCCTCCTCTGCCTTCCTCCTCCCTGTCTGCTTCCTGGCTGCCATGAGCTGAGCAGCTTCCCTTAGCTGGGACCTGGTGTCATGATGTCCTGCTTTGCCATGGGCCCAGAGCAATGAGACTTTCTAACCATGAACTGAGATCTCTGAAACTGAGCTCCAAATAATCTTTTCCTCCTCTAAATCTTTCCTATCAGGTATTTTGGTCACAGTGACGGAAAGCTGACTAACACAAGTGGGAAAGTGTCCCAGAGGTGGGACGGGTTCCCAAGCCCTGGCTCCATATTCTCTTAGGGACGTGGTCTGTAGACCAGTGCTTCCCAAATCTAGCTGGAACTCAGGTTTCGAAAGCCTCTGTTCTCACACTAGTTCTGCCCACGACCTAACCTCATAGAACTAGAATCACAATGTGAGGGTTAGTGACCAGAACCTGCCTGGGATCCAGCTCTCCAGGTAATTCTGATGTAAACAGGGGGCAGGGACCATTCTGCAGTGTCCTGCTAGGGAGAACCTGTCTGCTCCACACAGTCAAGCCACTGGGAATCAGTCCTGCCTTCTTCTGAAGGACACCATGAGAGACGTGCATCTGGGCTCAGGAGGAAAAGGAGCAGGAGGAGTTCCCGAGCCCGGGGCCACCTAGCCTGACTCCCAGTGAGGACACTGGGGCTGTAAAGAAAGCCCCAGGAGGTGAGGAACTGTTCCCTGGTTCCCTCAGGTAACCCCAGGGAAAACCTGAGGGAAGGGGAGGGTGTTGGCCAAAGGCAGGGACATCTAGGCATTTCTGTCCTTTTTTAAAAAAGCCACTTAGAAGTGGGAGGCAGGAGAACTTCTCTAGTGTTCCTCCAGCCTCTAGTGGTCTTCTCCCCAATAAACAAGGAGCTCAACAAAATGACCTCTAAGGTTCCGGTCTCCTCTGACATTCTATGGCACCAACACCTAACACGTGTCTTCCAAGGGTTCCAGAGGACAGAACTGGCCCTGTGGCCAAGCTTCTTGACATGCATGATGAATCAAGAATATGTGCTCACCTACTCTGGCACATGAGCGGAATGATACATTACATTAGGATGGCCTCGAAACCTGATTCATCAGAGAAGAACACATGAAAAATCTCCATCTTGAACATGCTCACTGCTCAAAGGAATGTGCTGCTAGTCCTTGTGAATGTGAACCCTCCTTTCAATGCTGATGCTGAGCTTGGACATTTCCTTGTTGGCAAAACGTGACACATCATCCCTTACTGCCACAGGCCTGGAGATGGAAGCCCGTGTTCCCTGGGATGCTAAGAGACAATTCAGGGGACATAAAACGCATCCCCAGGCTCGGGGGTCAGACAGACGGGGATTAAAATTCCAGCTCTGTCACTGACAGTTGGAGAAGGAACAAGACTCCCCTGAGCCTTACGGCAGTGGTTCTCCATGTGAAAAATGGGGACATTACCAACCAGTTCAAGGAGGATTATTAGTAAGACCTTTTTGTTTGGTTTAACATGCAGATGTGACTGTAGTGTCGCTGAGTGAGGCTCCCCAGTGGTCCCATCGCCCTGGGGTCCAGTCTGGACTTCTCCCAGGGATGGTGCACCAGATCTGCAGGCTCGGGGCTGCCCCCTCCCTTCAGCTCCCTGAACTGCAGCCTCTGGGCCTTGCTAATCTCCACCCTCCGGAGAATCTCCCCTCCCCGGGTCTGAGAAGCTCCTCGCCGGTTCATGAGGATCTGCACTCAGAGGCCACTTCTTTAGAACAGGCCTCCTGGGCATTGCAGTCTGCAGCACGTCCCCTCTGCTGGGCTTTCATTTATGCCACGTCCTTGTGGCCTGGCCACAATCTGTCATGAGATGTCTCTGTACGGCTCTGCTCAGAGCCCACCTCCTCTCCAGCCCTCAAGCGACACGACAGTGAGCCATCACTGGTTAATCCACACCTTACGCAAGACCTGGTATAGAGGAGGCGCTCACAGCACCTTCACTGCTCAGATAAAGAATGTGCACAGGCCCGGCACAGGGCATTGCTCAGTGGAGGCCTCAGCATTGAAGGTCGGCGCCAGGCTGACCGTGCTTACCTCGATCTGCGCCGTGTGCTTGGCATAGAACTCCAGAGCTTCGTCTCCATCCACCTGGCCGCCAGGCTTCAGCATGGTCTGAAGTTCTTTGTTGTGCCGAGCCAACTAGAACGCAAGTACAGAAACACAGGGGCGACGTCGTCTCCACAACAGGAATGCATGAGCTCTTTCTAGCTACGAGTTTCAAACAGTGCATTGCAACCAGCAGCAAGCGGAGGGCAAAGGAGCTGGGAGGCTTGCTACCTTCTCTCTAGGTGCCTCTGCACAGGGGTTATTTGGAGAGCCTGGTAGAAAAGTCCTAGAAGCTCATACAGGGTCCTTGCTTCCCCTTGATTTCATTTCTTTTCTTTTTTTCAGGGGGTGGGGGTAGCAGAGATTTAACCCAAAGGGACTTGGCCTCTGAGTCAGATCCCCAGCCCTTTTCATTTGTTATTTTGAGACAGGGTCTCGCTAATTGCTGAGGCTGGCTTTGAACTGGTGATCCTCCTGCCTTGGCCTCTGGAGCCGCTGGGATTACAGGCCATGCCACTGCATGAGGGTCCCCTGATTTCTATATAGACAGGAGGGTTTTCTGGACAGTCCTGCAGAGCCTCCATGTGGAATGTTCAGAAGCCCTTTTGGAGGTCAGATGCTAATCATGGGGTAGAAATGGGGTGGGGACCTACCAACCTCGGGCCCAACCCCATCATTGCTTATAGCCAGGTCTCTGCTCCAGGGACAAAGGGGACAGGAAACAGGAGCTGAGTTATGGCCTGCCCAGACCCCCCCCCCCCCCCAAAATCCAAGAGACATCAGCACCCAGAAAGAGGAGGATTAAGAACCTCCTACAGGGAACAGGATTAAGAAAGGAGACACTGGGATGCCAGGGCACGGGGCATCACCCTATCCCCCAAGGCAGAAGGAAGTCCTAATGACAGGTTCCCACGGACCTCACATACGGCTGGGGGGGAAGCTGGAGTTTACTCCTTTAGGTTGTTGAGAAACTTGGCTGTATTTATAAGAAAGGCTGGGACGCCTTTCACAGGACTCCAGACGAGATCATAAACCACCGACTGTTACTGCCCAGGGGTGGGTGCTTATAAGGGGGATTTCCAAGTCTGTGACCCCAGCACAGAAAAGTCCTGGGCCTCAGATCAGATGCCAAAACTCCCGGGAGCCACACTCTCATGAGTGCAGCCGGCCCTCAGAGAAGGCCGTCAAGGAGGGCCAGTCCCAGGCCCACAGCCCTCAGGGAAGGCCCTTGGGCTTGGAGTGGTGGCCTTGGGCGCAGAGTCTGCAGGGGCGTAGGAGCTCATACCTGGTGGGCTAATATGTAGATGTTGTGCCCCACGTTCCTGGGGGAGGCAGCTCCATCCTCACCGTTTTCTCCATCCTCAAATTCGACTTCGCCTTGCATGTAGGCCTTCTTGATCACTTCCACCTGCAAGAAGGGCCGAGGGGACCCTCTGAAGACTGGCGTCTGTAGCACCCAGGTGGTAATCTCCCCTCCCGGGCAGATGCTGCTCACCCAGTGCAGCAGCATTTCCTAGCGGGCTTGGAACTCAGCCTCAGAATCCTTCCTAACACTGCTGCAAGCAGTCGAGACCTTTACCCTCCACAGACAAGGAAGCAAATTCATTCACTCTACTTGGAGCAAGAGATATTCTATGGCTCCTAATTTAAAAGGGGGCAATGGCTATAAAAGCACTTTGAAAAGGCAAATATGATACAAATGTAAGTTAGAAGCCTGAATTTTCCTATCTCCACATTTCTTTCCATCAACTCTCCCTAATCCCAATTTTGTCCTTTTAGGAAAAATCTGCTAAGAAATCCATTTGTTTTTAGAACAGCTTGTTTTCTTTTCTTTCTTTTTTTTTTTTTTGTGCTGGGGATTGAACTCAGGGTCACTCCACCACTGAGCTACACCTCCGGCCCTTTTTGCAACAGGTCTTGCTAAATTGCTGAGGCTGGCCTCAAACTTGTGATCCTCCTGAGTAACTGGAATGTGCATAACCGTGCCTGGCTGTGAAATATTTTTCTTATTCAGTTCCCTTCCCCCACAAGCCTACACTATGTGAAAATAATAGACAACTAGTAACATCTATTGACCGCTTCTCCTTGGTGCCAGGCACCGTGCTTACTATTTTCATGTTCTTTTTAAAAATGTAATGCTCATAGGGCTGAGGCTCTAGTTCACTCAGTAGAGTGCTTGCCTCGCATGCGCAAGGCCCTGGGTTCAATCCCCAGCACCAACAACAACAAAAAAAAATTTAATGCTCACAAACATTTTATAAAGTTATCAGAGGTTTCATTTCTTTATGGACAAAGACAGTAAGAGAAAAGAACACTGATGAAGTCACAGTTAATGAGCTCAGACGCCTTCACAGTGCCACAGCTCTGTCCCTGGTTCTATGCACCTGGCTTGGCTCATGCCCCCAGCATCCTGGAGCCTTTCTGTCCCTATCTTGCTATTTCCACTCACCTCATCTCCCAGGGAGCAGGAGCTGAGTCTGCCTGTATCCAGACCCTGCCCTAGTGCCCAGCACGGTGCCCTGGCTGATGGAGGGCCTGGCCAGGATTTATTAAATGAACAAATTGTTCAGGATTTCATCATTTAAAGAGTAAGAACACCTCCACCCCCTAAGTTGTATGAAAGATTCATTTTTTTTTTTTGTTTGCTGGTGTTTTGGCTTTTTTGATGGTTCAGAAGGCAGTTTAGCCACAAGGCAGCAATCTGGAATTATTTCTCATTACCCAAAATCAAGCATGTGGAGAGCCACCCATTTCTGCACCGAGGCCAGTTCAGTCACTGGGTTGAACTTTGGAGACAAAGCCTCCTTCTCTGAGCTTTGATTCCTGCCAAGTTCCCTCCAATATCCAATCAGGCAGACAGCATGTTGTGTAGGATGCAGGGCCACAACACGCACAGTGCACACATGCACACACACTCTGGATATCTGAGCGTCCCTCTATCTAGACACTTAGAGCCATGTTTGTTCCAGGAAGTCCGACTCCTCCCGTGAGCCAGAATGATGTTCTCCAAGCACAACGGGGCCAACCAGGAACTAGAGGCAGCCACAGCATGGGGTGCTGACATTTCCCCATCCAGGACAGGCCAGAAGAGCCGGGTGCTTTCTTAGTTCACGAACGGGATCTCTGCAAGGTCATGCTGACCCTACTCAAGAAAGATAACCCCAAGTCCCCAGCACTCCCAGTTATACAAGCTGTTACGCAAACGCACAGAGGACTCCCAGCTCGGGCTGAGACCTTACTCCCTGACCTCGGAGATCAAAGAACTGGGCTGCTCTTAACTTTATTTAAAGAAATACATGAAGGGACTTTGGCCTGTGCACATCTAGGTCAGCAGGAGGCAGAGCTGTTTTAATGCCCTCATTTAAGTCTGTCAGCTGCAGTTTGTTTGTATGGGGAAAAGTCCAAAAAGAGAGCTCTGCCCTCTGCTCATGTCACCATCTCTGAACGCTCCTCGTCTGACAGTCTGCAGCCCCAACTCCAACCTCGAAGTCACAGCCCCCTGTGAATATCACCCCTCAAAAATAAACCAGATCGTATTTTCTCCAAAGAAAACTCAAGCCAAGAAAGCACGCCAGCCATCCAAGAAACTTCTCTTCCATTGTCCAGACCACTGGCAACAAGAACGGATGTGATCTCGTCACCCCCAGACAAAGACGTGGCAAAAACATCAGCAAAGAATAGGAGTGAGCAGAAAAGGGGCTTCGATTCACAGAGGACTATCGTGTGTCAGGCACTGCACTAGGTTAGATGTGAACCTTCTCATCTAGTCTTCAAAACAACGCTTTGGCCCAGGTGACTTCATCTTTCTTTTATGAATCAGGGAAGTGTGAGGTCGGAGAGGTCAAATGGCTGCCAAAACCTCACAGTAATGCATCTGAACTTGGCCAGTGAACTTGACCATGCTCTGCACCCAGTCCTCCATGAGTGGAAAACAGAGAGGGTGGCTTCTGGATGCTCCAGGGACAGGGAACACATGTCCAGTGCCCTACGCTTCACCTCCCCACCCGCTCAGGGGCCTGAATTGCGAGTTTTCTTCATCCTTCTGGTTTGAGGAATCTTGAAGAAAGCTTCCTTGAGCAGGTCCCAGGTGCTGCTTTGATGTTCCCAACTCACCAGCTCCTTCGGCCGCATGTTGTAGAGGATCCTCTCGGCATTCTCACTGTCGTGCCTGCTCTCCATGATGGCCAGCAGCAACTTGGAAGCATTGTTCTAGTTGGAGAAAAGCCAGGGTGAGAGGCAGGGGAGATGCGAGGGCGGGGGACTCAGGTGTGCAGCCTGGCTAGACAGACAGGCATCCACCTGGTGGGGAGAGGACAGCACAGACGCTCTGCACCAGGCAGAGGAGGTGCTACCTTCAGACCCTGCGACATGCACACAATCCGATTCAGGTCAAAGAGATGCAGGTGTCAGCTAATGGAAGACTAGCAAGTATTGGAATTCTAAACCTGGGTGCTGGCGGGTGCCAGTCACCCCCCAGTCTCCACGGGGGATCGGTCCCAGGACCCCTGGGGAACCAAAACCCAGGGATGCTCAGGTCCCTTATAGAAAATGGCATGGTCTGTGCCTATAACTGAGAACATCCTTCCAAATACTTCTTCTCTGGACTATTTATGATAATACATAACACAATGTAAAGTATAAGGTCAATAATTGTTGCTGTGCTCTATTTTTTTTAGGAAATAATAACAAAAAAAGACTGTACATTTTCAGCACAGGTCCATTTATTTTTCCTCAAATATTTTTGATCCTGTGGTTGGCTGACCCTGCAGATATTGAGAGGCACACGTGGAGGCCTGACTGGGCTGTCACTCTTGGTGACAGGGCTGTGCACAGGCCCATGCCGACTTGATGCTCCTGAGGAGTGGAGTGGCAAGTTCTCTGCAGGGGCAGATGAGTGTAGAGACACTGCTGCTCAGCCCTGCAGGCCAGAGAAGACAGGCAACCAGGATAGTTCTTCGTGGTCTGAAAATATTTCCACCAGTACCCATAACTCCAAATACCATGAGAGTATAACTAACACACTTAACCAGAGTGACCCAGAGGAACACTGCCTGCCTGCCAAGCTCTGTGTTCCCATCCTGTTAACAGTGCCCGTGTGGCTACACCCTGTGGATCTTGGCTTGACCTCACTTGAGGTCCTGGGCCACAAGGATTTGTATGCTTTTTGTTTATAGGACTCCAAAGATCTTGGCTTTTTTTTTTTTTTGGGGGGGGGGTGTTCCTCCCCAAGCTTCACAGCAGCTCAGTTAGGTTGCTGTGCTGTCATAGGACAGAACTTTCTATAATTATCCTCAGATCCTCAGACTGTTGAATTAGTGGAACAGGTCACTGAAATGCTGCCCTGGAGCACATGAATGTCTCAGGGTAGTCCAGTGGCTGATAAACGGTGTGTTTGCACGATGCTCAAATCAGGTGTAAAGCAAAATTTCTCAAAAGGAGATAAAAGCACTGCCCCCACCCCCCAAAAAATCCATATACCCAAATCAACTAATTACACTCTCCACTGAAGTACTAAAGAAAAAATAAAAATAACTGTGCCTTCCATGCAGCAAACACAGAGCAGTTTTCCAGTGAACCCTGTAGTTCTGGGCCCTTCCATGATAATGATGAAGTGCTCAGTGCTGTATGTGGCTGTAAGCAAGGGTACAGATCTCAACTCGCCCCAACATGGGGACAGCTAGGAGGAAATGTGCTCAGTGACAATAACACCTTTGCACACACCACGGTGGGTTTCAAGTATAAGTTTCAGAAGTGAACCTCTTGATTTTTTTGGGGGGTGGGGGGTGGGTAGGGTTCTAGGAATGGAACCCAGGGTCTCGTGCATGCTAGGCAAGTGGTCTACTGCTGCTCTACACCCCAAGTCCTAATTCTTTGGATTCTGTGAGAACCTTTGGAACCTCAAAGCAAGGGGAGAGTTTGGGGGCTCACTCAAGAAGTCACTTTCTGGGATGGTATATGAGTTGTTCACATATTTCAAAACCAGATTATAAACCCTGCAGCTTAGGGACCTTGAAAGCACTGCTTTTACTCTGAAAAGCTATTTCAGTGTTTACAGAGAGTCAAAAGCTGGTGGTGCTTTCGTATCAACTACGTGAAGGCTTCCATCCACACATGGGTCATCATGGGCCTGAAGGCACATTCTCAGTGTACTGTCCTTACTTTAAACATTACTAGCCACCCTTCTGCTAATTCAGGACTCAATTTTTTAAAAAATGTATTATCCTGATTAAGTAAAAATGGATTTTTTGAGGTACTAGATTGGTTGAAGGTTAGTACAACCAAACCTATCCTTTTTCCTCAAAGGGGGAAAAATCTAGAAACCCCCGAGAGAAGAATCTTTCCATCGTCTCCCAGCCTGTAGCTTTTGGAATGCGGGCTTCTGGTTCTTGGATGCCAGGTTCGCTTCTCATCTCTGAGTGACATGTGACCTAACAATTGAAAAGCTGGTACCTGTCCCAAGGCCCTTATTTGGATAGTGCCACATTTCAGTGAGTACATGTGACTTGGCTCTTTCATGCAGCTCAACAGAACCGCCACTACTACCTAGCTCAGGACCCTGACTGTGTCACGACGCAGCACCAGCACCCCTCCTCTCAGGGCTCTCAAACTTGCCTTCAGTTCTAACACGAGGTCCATGCGCTTCTTCCCCAGAGGGTTGATGTCGTTGAGGATCAGGGCTGTGATGATGTCGATGCCATTGGACTCGTGGGTGGCGATGCAGTTCTGGGCAGAGAGACACACAGACATTCACACAAATGCCGGACGTAAATCAGAGGTCAAAGGCCAACAGGCTCAGCGGCTATTTCAACACAATGTCTGCTGCTCCCAGCAATGTCTCTAGGGGAGGGCTGCAATTTTCCGTGAGAAAGTGGTAAAAATAAAAGACAGATGAAAATCTCTAGTTTCAGAATTAACAGTAAACAGCAGGAAAGTCCCCATGCATGCTAACTGATAAATTGGTCTCATCTGATCCAAATAGTGCCGTGCAGTAAGCTTTTGTTCTTAAAAGGAAAATACAGTGTGTGACTGATACCAGGGTTTGAGCCCTTTTTCCCCTTTTAAAGTGTATTCCATTCCCCCTGACATCACTCATTTTGTTTTGGTGTCTTTGCTTAAGGCATAAGTTTGGAAAGCAAACTTCTGGTTTAATTCACACAATATCAAAATTAATCATCTTGCCAAAGCACAACCCCCTGCAGCCTCTTGCTTTCCAGGCCTCTGTTTGGCAGAAAGGCAAACCCAAGGTTTTAAGGAAATTCCCTGCAATGTCAAAGAGAGCCTTTCCCTGAAGCCAGGGGCATTTCTGTGCTCCTTCTCCTAGCTAGGACTGCACCATCGGCTCCATCAGGACACCAGGAGGGGAAAGCAGACCTAGCAAAACACTATTCTCACATTCCCAGGCGACCAAGGCCAGGTTTTATGCAGGCCACGAGACGTCTGTGGAAAACTACTCTCCTTGGAGTGAAGGTCCTGTCTCTCCAGGTAACCAGCACTGCACGCCTTCCTGGCCACCTGAAGACTTGCTCTGCCCACCCCAGCCAGAAAGGAGCTCCAGCATGGAGTTGTGAATCACACTTGGTCCCGCACCAAGGCTCAAACTCACCCCCTCTTCAAGATGCCACCTACAAGCCACGACCCTACCAGGAAGAGAAGTTCCGGGCTCCATTCCACAGCACACCTCCAGGGGCCAGAGACCCATCTGCTTTGCCTCAATATCCACAGCGTTATCATGGCAACTAGAAATGTCCTCATGTTGCTTTCAAGCTGTTTTGTGTGGAGACCTTGTCTCTAAGTTCACATCCCCTTCAAATAGCCTCTTTTTAATCTTTCCTGGTATTTACAATAAATCACCATTTTTCTGGTGCTAATGTAGCCCCCCTCTTCCACTTTATCACACCGACCCCTAAAAAGTCAAGTTAGAGCTGAATGTCCAACCAAACCAAACCAACCCAAGAGGCCAAGGTCAAGCCCTCCAGAGTCCATCATTAGGTGAAGTTCTGAAGGCTGACAAAGTGGGAGCAGTCTTTCCACCTCCAGTCCCACCGACTCCCTAGGGCAGCAGACAGATGTGAGGTGACTTCTGAACCAGCTTCTTTTTTTCCCCCGTATTTCTATCGGTGTGTTTTAACCATATCTAACGGCAAGACTTGTTGTTACCTATCTGTACATGCACAAAACAAAACCATATAATTTGGCCAACATCATTTCCCAGCATTTCCCATTTCCTCTCCTCCACTGATCTCCCTTCAGTTTTCATGAGACCTGAACTAGTCTCATCAACACTTCCAAAATGATAAAGCAATTGCAGATGGAATCACCTGGTTTTCATGGCAAGGTCCCTGACAGTATTCAGTCAGACTTTCCAGGGTTTGGTTGATAAGCGCGACATTCTTCTCGTTGATGTACAGTCCAAGGAGCCCAAGGCCACCAGTCGTGCTCCCACAAATACAGTCCAGAAACTGCAGCGTCTCACACACCAAATTGTAGTTGGTCTTGTTATTTTGGCAACGAAGGAAGTTCTGCAGGTGGAGGTGGGGGAGAGAAGAGGGTCAGGGTCATTGCCATGCTGACAATCTGTAACAGGTTGTGCCCTGGACTGGTCAGCAATTAGGCAGCCAGATGCAGCATGGGATAGAAGAGTCTGTATGATTCCCATGATGGTCCACTAACCATGATGGACTTAGTGAGTGGCAATGGCCACGAATGGTGTGGCTTGCTCTCCAGGGTATCTGCTTGGGATACAGTGGAGGAGGGCTTCTCCTTGTAGTCCAGTTCCAACTCTTCCAATCTTTTCGAGTTCTCATTTCTCCATTTAATTCTTATCCCTCTGCACCCCTCCCTCAACCAACCTCCCACTCAGTGACGTCTGACATTTTAAAGGTGGTTCAAAACTACACTAGGATTTCATCTCCCTCTAGTCAGAATTCCAACCATCAAGAACACAAACAATAATAAGCATTGGTGAGCACTGGGGAAAAAGGTACACGTGTACATTGTTGGTGGGACTGCGAATTAGTACAACCACCCTGGAAAGCCATACGGAGACTCCTCAAAAAACCAGGAATGGAACTACCACATGACCCAGCTATCCCACTCCTCTCTCTATACCTAAAAGAAGTAAAACCAACAGACCATGGTGACACACAACACGTGCGTGAGGGCTTACAGGAGCACAATTCCCACCAGCCAAGCTAGAACCAGCCCAGATGCCCATCAACAGATGCATGGGTCAAGACAATGTGGTGTATGTACACAATACACAATGGAGTTTTAGTCAGCCATAGAGAAGAATGAAATTATGGCATTTGGAAAAAAAAGAAAAAAGGGATGGCAATGTAGAACATCATGTTAAGTGAAATAAGCCAGATTCAGAATGTCAAGGGCTGAATGTTTTCTATCATCTGTGGAAGCCAGAGAGAAATAAGGGAAAAAAGTGTGCATGCGTATGCGTGTGTGTGTGTGTGTGTGTGTGTGTGTAAAGATATCAAGACAGGGAAGATAAGAGGAGCAGAAGAAGGAAATTGGGGGGAAGGGAAGAAAGGTGGGAAAAGCAGAATGAAGGTAGGAAAATGACGCTGTGTGTGTATATAAATCTACCACAGTGAATTCCACCTTTGTGCATCTGTATCACTACCAAGAGCCAATCAAAATAAATTTAGATAAAGGAGTGAAAGGAAGACCAAGAGGGTAGAGGAAGGAGAATATCAAGGGAGGGAGGAGGGAGAAGGAAAGGTAGAGGACTTGGGAATGAAATGGAGTATATCAAATACCCTGCACGTATTATTTTTTTTTTCAAAATGAACCCAACTCTTATATATAACTGTAATGCACTAAGAAAAGAAAAAAAGAGTTGATGGTGCGGCCTGGATGCTGAACACGCAGAGCCTAGCAGTGGGGACAGTTCCCCACGGTACTAGATGTTACAGGTGGTTTATGGGCCATGGAGGGAGCCTGGATTTCCTGCTTGGCCATTCCCATTCTTAAAGCACGGGGAAATAATAAGCGTGATATTCTTCATCTCACTGTTATAAAAGTGACACCTTATTTACTGCAGAAAATGAAAAACAGAAAAAGATTAAAATCACAAGATGACATGAACATAACCTCTGACTTGGTAATTCCACGTTTGTGAAATGCTCATTTTTACTAACAAAGTATGTGCATGGGGTGCTCACCACAGCACTGTTGATAATGGTGAAGAACTATAAGTAACCTCAAGGAGCCGGGTGTGGTGGCACACGCCTCTACTCCCCCCAGCTTGGGAGGCTGAGGCAGGAGGATCACGAATTCAAAGCCAGCCTCAGCGACTTAGCGAGACCCTGTCTCAAAATGAAAAATCATAATTTTCAAAAGACACTGGGGATGTGGCTCCCGAGTTCAATTCCTGCTATAAAAAACAGAACAAACAAACAAAAACCTCAATGCCTACCAACTGAGGTGTAGTTAAAAATAAGTGTCAGGGGCTGGGGTTGTGGCTCAGTGGTAGAGTGCTTGCTTGGCTTGTATGAAGCCCTGGGTTCAATTCTCAGCATCACATACAAATAAATAAATAAATAGAGGTCCATCTATGACTTAAAATAAATAAATAAAGACACACTACCCATATCATTCATGGTTGTAAACTAGAAAGACCAAGTCGATCAATGTGTGTCATAAGGAAAGATCTAGGGCACACTGTTAAGTTAAAAAGAAATTGGCAAATAGGTTAATTGGTGACACAAACACATTTGTATTAAATGTTTCCTTTTAAATATAAAGAAAAAAGACTGAGATGATGCTTCTTGGATAGGAGAAAGAGAAGTCTGAACTAAAACTATTTTTTTATTCCTTCTATGCACTTTTTATTTTTTTATGATTGTAATGCATTCCACTATTGTCATGTATGTAAGAAATAAAAAAAAAACACAACTAAACGTGCATTTTTGTTTGAACATTTATAAAGAGGATATATTCACATATTCCTGAAGTCAAGGATTGTTTTTCTCAGGACCACAGGCAGCCAGAGGAGGGTTTCAGACCCATTTTACCCACTCCTCTGGGAGGGTGCTGTTGCCTCAGGGCCTGGAGGAGCCCCTGGCCAGGTCTGGTGGAGGAGCGATGGGTGGAGAGGGCCTCCTTCTCAGCAGCTCCTTCAAATTCCAGTCAGTGTTCCCACCACACCCTGCTCTGCTCAGTGGGGCCACCTGAATGACCACACCTTCTCTGCTTGGTGACAGCAGGGTTCCCACCACGCCCCTCTCTGCATTGAGCTTGCTGCTCATCAAGCACTCTGTTCTTTTGCTTCTGGGGCTCCAACTGAGCCATCCCCCTGCCTCCTCCTCCTCTAGGATGTGGCCAGCTCCCAGATGCTACAGCCCCACCTCTGTGACATAGCTCTAGACGGCTCTCCCCAGAACCATATTGACAGCACTGAGTCCCCAGGCAGCTGGCACGGGGGCTGGTGCCTCCTGGGCACTTTACAAATGCTGGCTGAATCTCTACATTCCATGGGACAGAGGAAGGAAAGGGCCCTGGGGAAGCCGCCTGCTAATATTTCACCCATGTTTCCAGCTCCCCATGGAGGCCAGCTAGCTGCCCTTTCTCCAAAGCCTGTCCCATTTCCCAGGGTTTCTGAGGTGACTTGCTGGAACCTCCCATTCCCTAATTCAGACCCCTGTCCTCTTGTCCTCTACAAACACAGAGGGATGCTGTCAGTGCACCCAGGGGCTGCTCCCACGTGCTGCCAGTACCAGCCACCTGCTGTGCTGGAGAAGTCTTCCCATCAGCCAGGCCAGGCAGAGAGAGAGAGTAAGCAGGGAAGGGCAGGGAAAGAAGCGAAGGCCCCAAGCCCAGGCTTAAGTCTACCCAGAGATCTGGACCTGCTTTCCTTAGAGCAGCAACTGCCACTTGGCACAAACTCCGCAGCTGCCTCTCTACTGCACATTTACCAACAGCAAAGTTAAGGTTGTACACAGGACAAGAGGCTCTGGGCAGGAGCCCAGGGGCTGTCACTTCAGAAGGCCCATTCCTTCTCTCAAGTCAATCTGCGCTTCTCAAACCAGGGAGCCAGAAACCCCTCCAGAGACAACTCCACCTCCCTGGGACCCACTGCCCGGACGGAATGCTACAAACAGGTGTCAGTCACAAGAGTGGATCCCCACGGAAAACATCACAGGGGAACTGGACTCCTGAAAATCTGATTTCACTGGGGCAAGTTCACCACCTGAAGGATTTCGTGGAAGGTGTTTTTGTTTGGTGGCCCTGGGAAATGAACCCGGGCACTCTCCTACTGAGCCACATCCTTGGTCCTTGTCATCCTCCTGCCTCAGTCTCTCCAGTAGCTGGGTTTGCGGGTGTGTGCCACCACACCCAGCCTGACTTTGTGGGAGTTTTGACCTACATCCTTGTGAACCCTGGGTCCAGTTCACTGGCTTTCTCAGTGGGCCTGTGGAACCTTGGGAGAGGTCCCTGGAATGCCCCCACCTTCCAGGGCTCTTACAGATGGAGGGGGGAACTCTAGCACTCTCTGGTTTCCACTCTGAACAGAGCAGCTTTACTTTCATCTGCTCAGTGCATTTCTGCATAAATGTTCTTCATACAAAGGATTCTATGGCTTAAAAAAAAAAGGAATTTGAAAGCACCAAATTGGATCATCTTTATATACCTTGAAATTAAATTACCAGGTCTTTTTTTTCCCCAATATATGAAAATATCTTTTACCCCCTCCCCACAGCACCGTATCCTACAGAGCTGCAGACAGGAGAATCAAGTTCTGGAAAGACTTCATTAGGAGGAGCTTCTGCCTGTGGGCTTCCTGGGGCGCTAGTCTGAAGGACAGTTGTGGGAAGAGCTAGAGTATGAAACTACAATTCTGAAGACTTCCAAATAAGAAATAATGAATTTTAGGACTCACTCTACCCCCACTGCGGAGGAGGGCGAATGTGCTGGCGAGGGAGAGCTCGGGAGGCGGAGAGCAGGGCAGGGGCACCACCCAGGACCACACTGGGGAGGCTTGCGGCTCTGCCCTTGGGTGGCAGGAGGGTCCACCTGGGCAGCCCTGGGCGTGGTGAGCGCAGAACTCCCACATCAGCACCTCTGAGAAGCCTTCCCGGGCTGCGCACACGGGGTGGCCCCCTTCCTCTGACCCAGCGAATGCCCTATGATGAATTCGTGTAACACCCAGCACTGGCTGCCATCTCTGGTGGGCCCACGGGCTCCCGACCAGACGAGGTCCCATCACCAGGTACCCCATAACTGTTCACTGGCACAATCATCCCATTCCTGCTTCCCTACTGGTGCCCACTGGTGATGTCACACAGAGGAGCAGCACAGGGAACTGTCACTATGCTTAGTCTAGAAATGGCCCCAGAAGCAGGGTGGGCCCTTTACCCACAAAGATGCCACACCCAGCCACCTTGGCTCTCCAGGGCACTAACTCCACCTTCACAGGCCTCCTTCAGAATTAACGGGGTCCCTTATAAGACAGAGGGGCAGATGACATCTGGGCACAGTCACTTTTCAGACAGTGGGACCAGCTAACTAGGCGACAGTCACACCTGGGCCTCGGGGCAGGAGCGTCTTGCTCCACTTGACTGAGCCACGCAGGTCCAACCAGGACTAAGGTGCTCTCGGCCACAGGAAGGGAGCTTGCAGAGGGGCTAGAAAACTGACAGGCGGGATCCCACACGCAGGGGTTGACAGAGAGCACGAAGGTCAATGGCTGACATCAACCAGCAGCAGGAGAAAGACCCCGGCCCCGTCTGGAGGGCCTCTGCCTCAGCCACTCACACCCCCTGGCCCTGCGGGTTCAGCGTGGCCACCTGCAGAGTCTGTGGGCAATCTCTTCCTTTTAAGTCGTGGGTCAGACTTGGCTAGACAATGACCTCAGATCTGAGATGCCTTTTCCAAATTCTGGCTCTTCCTTCACTCCTCTGCCTTCCTCCATAACAACAGTCCTTCCTACCTGGCTGATCCCCACGGAGATTGGGTGGCAGCAACTCACAGTGGCAACACCAAATGATCTGCCACAGTCAATGTGTGACAGGCCATTGCGTCACCTGTGGGAAAGCTAGCGATGGCAGTACTTATAGGTGACACCTTGCCCTTGCCAGATGTGACTAGTGTCATTTCAGCCTCCTACTGTTTTTTCCCCTTTTATATTCTAAGCTCAGAAACTCCCAGTGCTGACTGTGATCCTGGGAGGAAGCATTCCACGTGGGAGGAGCTGTCCAACACCTTTTCCTTATTCATCCTCCCTCCATTCAGGCAAACACAGGTGGTGTCCTTGGGCTCAAGAGTTGGCAGCCAACCCAGGCAGTGGCCATGGGCCCAGGGCTCCAGGATGCTCTCCTGGGCGGGACTGGGCCTCCACGTACCTGGGCCCATTTGGAAGAAAAAGGCCAGTCTCTGGAACCCAGCTGTGGCACTTTGGCTGGGAAACTCTGCAAGGGAGTTAGCGAGCCTCTGATGCAGCGTGTGGTCAGCAGCTCCGGCCTTGGGACACCTGGGTCCAAGGCCCTGTCCTGCCCTCCCTCCCGCATCCTCTCTCTGAAGTACGACAACGTATGTAGTTACCCAAAGCATGGCACCCGGGGCACTCAGAAGACCCAATAAACCTTGGCTATGGTTATCATCCCCAAACAAGAAATGAACAAAGGATTTCCAGGAGCAACGATTCCTGACTATCTGTGGAAACTCTGGAAGGCAACTACTCCATTCAACTGGCAGCCATGCTTTGCTTGAGGATGGGGATAAGTGCTGAGAAACAAGATGTTAGGCAACCTCTTGGTGCCAGCGTCAAAGAACACACTCATGTAAACCCAGATGGCACAGTCTACTACCCTCCCGGGGCAGATGGCACCTACCATCGCGGGCATGGTCTGCCACTGACCGAGGTAACGTTGTGCAGCGTGCGACTGAGTTCATGAGAACTTTCTATGCACCTGATTCTGTAAGGCTAACATCTTCGATTTTTACTTGAGACCCTAGATGCTGCACGGCGACAGGCTACAAGATCCCCTCACCCACAGGCACCTCCCCTGGATGGGGACCGAGGCCTGGAGACTCCGAAGTCAGCCATCCACGCTGCAGCTCAAGCTAGCTATCCGCACGAGAGGTGCTTAAGTGTGGGAGGAGGGTGGCTGATGTCCCTCACCTGCCTGGGCCCTCACCTGCAGGTCTCGGTTGTGGTTTTCGCAGAGTAGCTGCAGGAAGCGCAGGATGGGCTGCATGATGGTAATGACCGCGCTCATCTCCAGCTCATCCTTGGTCTTGTCGGTGGTGGTCTGGGTGCCCTCCCCGGACTGGTAGTGGTCGTCGGGGTCGGCCTCCCTCCGGAAGGTGGTGAAGGCTTTCCTGGTGGCAGCAGAGGCCTCCAGGAGCTGATCCCGGACCTCTTCTGTTATCTGCGTCGTGGGCTCTTTGGCTGGAAGGCAAGCGTGAGATGGTCAGTACTGGACATCCTCAGGAGCGCCATTCTCCTTTCCAAAGGGACCTCAGAAACCTGGGTCTCCACTGGAGACCTGTGAGGCTGGCACAACACCCTGGGAAGCCACAGACTCCTCTCAGTCCTTAGGCAGGATGAGGGTGGAGTGGACCCTGGCCAGCTGCTCCTGGTCCCCGTGTCCCGTCTAGGCTAGGCCCATGTCTAGAGAAGAGCTTGGTACAGCTCTGTGGACCTCACGACCAAGGCTCTGGGTCTCGGGTCCTCCTTTGCACCCTGGTGAGCACCAGTGAACTCTATCTCGGGCAGCTGGGAGAGGCTCACCATGACGCCAAGTGGTCACCTAACACTGGTGGTCCTTTGTGTGGCTTGTCCGACCCAGTCCTCAGGATCCCTGAGCTAACTGTGGCATCGTCGTTAGGAGCACAGACGGCAGTTGGATCGCCTGGGCTCAGATGCCAGCTCCACACCTTCCAGCTGCATGTCCCTAACAAGTCAAGGACCATGTCTGCGCCTCTGCTTCCTCATTGGTAAAATGGAGACAGCGTTCTACCTAGTTTGCAAGGTTGGCTTGAGCTTTAGATGAACTGAACAGGAAGAGAGGCTCTGCTATGCTTTGGATCTGCAAAGTTCCCCAGTGGGTTAAAGGCTGGATCCCCATCCCAATGTGCCATTGGAAGGTGATGGAACCTGTAAGAAGCACAGCCTCTTGGGACATCTTAGATCACTGGGGGGATATCCTAGAGGGGGACTGGAGGGCCTTGGTCTTTTCTGTTTTTCTGCTTCTTGGCCACGAGGTAGGTGCTTCTGCTCTGTCACATGCTCCTGTCTGACATGCTGCCTTAGGACTGGACCAAAAACAAAGAGGCCAATTGGTTATGGACCAAAACTTCCAAGTTAACCTTTTATCTTTATAACCTGATTATCTAAGGTATTTGTTATAGTGACAGAAAGCTGGCTAATATATGACTAATTCATTTCAGTCTTTAGGCATCCTTCATGTTTCTTCCATTTATCCCCATTCTAGACTAGTTGTTCTCAATCAAGGGAGATGCCTTCCCCAATCCCACTCAGGGAATAACGACATTGTATCTGGAGACACATTTGGCTGAGGGTGGGGATGTGCTACTGGTATCTAATTGAGCAAAGGTCACATATGCTAATAAATACCTTATATAGCTGGGCATGGAGGCACATGCCCATAATCCCAGCAACTGGGGAGGCTAAGGAAGGAGGACCACAAGTTTAAGGCCAGCCTCAACAATTTAGCAAGACCCTGTCTGAAAATAAAAAAATAAAAAAGGGCTGGGGATGTAGCTCAGTGGTAAAGCATTCTTGGGTTCAAGCCCTAATACACTAAGAATTTTAAATAAATAAATACCCTATAATGCACAAGACAGCCCCTAAAACAAAGAAGCTTCCAAAGGTCAACAGTGCTATGGTTGAGAAATCTAGCTCTAAACTTGAAAAGCAAGACTCACAGTGGTTAATTTATTCAAGGTTGTCTGACTCCCAAAACTGTGGGTCTTCTACTCCGTGTAGCACTACTGGGAGATGACAGACAAAAAGCTCTGTCCTTTAGAAAATAAGGAGAGATCACCTGACCAAGGACAGACACTGGTAGCTTTGCTTACTTGTTTGTTTGTGTGGCACTGGGGATTGAACTCTGAGCCACATTCCCAGCACCCCCTCCCTACCCACATCTTTTTAAAATTTTGGGACAGGGCCTTGCTAAATTGCTAAGAGTCTCACTAAGTTGCTGAGGCTAGCCTCAAACTTGTGATCCTCCTGCTTCAGCCTCTGGAGTCACTGGAATTTCAGGTGTGCACCACTGTGCCCAGCTCCCTAAGACACCAGTTTTAGAGTATGCATTACTCTAAGACTGCATGGAAACGACAGGAAAAGAATATCCACAGATTCTCTACCAATAAAACCCTCAGCTTGACCAAAAAGAATGACCACAAATTTATTAAACAAGAGTAATTATGACTAGTGTCACAGGACTTCAGCTCATGTCACCTAGGGAGAATTACTTCAAAACCAGAGCAGTTGTTTTCTTCGGAGAATTCGGGTGGTGATGCATCCTAGAGTCTAAAAGTGATGGAAAAAACTTACAGGAAACCAAGCCTCCTCTCCCTTTCCTAGGCCAGCAGATGGAAGATGGGGAGCATTACCTTTTTTCCGGGACGGGGCCTCCCTGTCCGCCTCGTCATCTTTCTTTTTGTTTCCTAAGTCACTGGTGTTCACAGTCACAGTTGCCTTGATTTCCTGCTGGGCCATCTTCATTCGGTCATAAAAGACCTTGAAGAATCTCTCGGACTTCTTATCTTCTGTCAACCGGCAGAAAAAGGAGTGCTGGAGGGGCAAACACACAGAGTTTCAACACTAACAGGCCCCCGTGAGCCCCACTGGCCGCCACACTGACTGGAGACCAGAGCCAGCCCCAAGCCTTGCAGAGGACCCAGGGTCGGCCCAAGGTTAAACATGGTGGCCCAACTCTCACTCTCTGGGTTGAGCATCAGAGATCGTCAACACAGAGTTCTAAACCTGTGGTGGTGGAGGAGGCACATGGGCTTTGGAAGCCTGCCAGGGGGTGGTGGGAAGACTGCAGCCTGCTGAGAGCCGCTCCTCTACTGCAAGCACACAAAACAAGGCTGTTAACAATGGAGACGGAAAATGGTTTTGGAGACGACTGCAGGGCCATCATTTGCTCGAGGAGTCCCCTGGGCTCCTCCCCAGCACAGAGCCCCGTGAACAATGCACGGATGACTCAGATGGGCCACCTGCCCCACAGGCCTCCGTAACAGGTAAGGATGACACATTCTTAAGTCAGACTGAGTCAAAAGCACCCGGGGAAGGCCTGTGAACGTAGATGCTTAGAGCTGGAGGGGCCGACGCTGGGCTGCAGCCATCTCAGAACCTTCATGGAAACAGTGGATTTTCCAGTAAGTGTCGAAGGGCAGGGAAGAGTGGTTAGAGGAAGAAGCTCCAAATGCACAGGTAGCCCGCCTCTTGGAAACGCATTTGCTTTTGGACCCACTGCAAGCAATAGTATACACTGTTGATATGAAAACACAATATGGTATTTCAACTTCATTTATGAGTATTCTCTTTTCACCCCCTTGCAAGTTCCACACTGTTGTGAGTTATTTACATAAAAATACAATACGGTCATTTCCAGCGGAATAAAACAAAGCTCCAAACAATGTATTTGCTTCTCCAGGTCGATCTTCCTGCCAGTTTTGCATCTTCCCGTTTGGAAAGATGGCGCTCCCCTGCATGGTGGTCTTTGGCTTCCAATCTTGGAAAAAAACTCAAGCCTTACCAGCCCCTCGATCCCCTCAGGCTCCCCCACTGTAGCCTGTATCCACCTGCCAAGGGCTGATTCAGTCACCACCTGACTACCACACCTTCGTCTGCCACCATACAACCGCAACCACTCTGGCCCTCTGACCCTCAGGCCACATTGACTGACATCTGTCCCATGAGCACTTCTCCATCAGGTCCCTGCTTCTCCCCTCCCTGGTGTTGACTCTGATGCTTCTTATATAGGACCAACTTCCTACCTGTGTTTTCTGGTCCTCCTGCCTGCCAATCCCTCCCGAATGCTCCCCCAGGCTCCATGTCTGCAGCTACTTAGCCTTGAACCAAGCAGAAGTCTCGAGTGTCCTCCACTGTCTTTTACTGCCTTATTTCCTGCTAAGTTTCCTACTGTTCCTTCCACCCACCATCACGGGGTAGGCATCATGAGTGGTGCATGGTGTCAGACACAAGAGAGAAAACAGTGAGTGCAAAAAGAAAACCATGAAGCCAGAAGCCTGGTGAGGAACGGACACAGTACTGCCAGTCACCCTAAGGACCACTGACCACGTTATAACACAGCCTTCTGTCCCCATGAAAGTGACCCAAGAATGTGCTAGTGAATGGTCCTGTGGCAGACACGTGATGCCACTGCCCTAGTGTCCTGCTCTCCCTGGGTCCTCATCTTCTGGTCTCACCACAAATGTCACTTTCTCAGTGAAGCCACTATGAATGTCACTTTCTCAGTGAAGCCATCTCTAATGCTCCCAGGCCAACTGCTGTGTTCTATTCTCTTCACTGCAGAACACTGTTGAGTTGCACGGCTGCTATATTTATCGTTCAACTGCTCACATCTGTCTCACACAGGGCAGAAGCTCTGGGAGGGCAGGTGCTTCACCTGTGATTGACAGCTGCCTCCAGAGCACCCTGAAGGGGCCCGGCACACGCAGCACTCCTTAAATGTCTCATTAAATAGCGACTCTAATAACCCAGAACGTGGTGGCTCCTCCTAAGTGGATCCCCCTGCTCAGATCTGTATACGGAGTGGACATGACACAAATAAGTGCCACCAAATAAATTAATTCTGGGAAATTGCTCAAATACCCGAAACCAAGTTTCCAACCCTTCATCTCTTTTAGAGCCAACACACCCACAGACACAAGATGATGTACATGAGGGCAGAGAAAGCAACCTAAAGCTGCCTAATCTCAGGGACCCAACTTCTGCACCAAGACCCATCTTCCCACACCCAGGGTCACAGGAGGCTGCTCACTAATGTGGTGGGCCACCAGAGGGCTGCCGCCTCAGGACACACCAGTCACCTCTCCAGCATGGAGGCTGCTTGACAAGCGGGTGGGGACGATCTGGTCATTCAAGAAAACAAAAGCACTTTCAATAAGAAAGTAAATACGACAAATGAAGCCGGCCACCTGTCATCTACAACCGCTCAACCCGGCTGCAAACCACGCTGCTTAGCATCCAGCCAGCCCAGCCAGCCCACGTCAGCTGACACCTTCAGGGTAAGGGAAGCGCCTCTGAAATGGGAGAAGGGCAGGGGACGGAGGATTTTGTGCTTCTATATATGTTTCTGCAATGGACAGTATGTTTATTCTGTATTATTTATACCGGTCCTCAGTAATCCCTTAAGGACTGGAAACAGTTTTACCAACAGAAGGTGCTCAACAAAACAATCCAATGGATAACAGGCTCCAGAAGACACGAAGAAGATTAGAAAAGCAAAATTAGAAAAGGATGGGGATGGGCAGAGTCTCGATTCAGGGGAGTCTCGGTTTGGCTTGAATCCCTGGCCACAATCAGGCGGAACCGAGAGGCATATCAGTTATGCCACTGGAGAAATGCAATCAGCACTTCAAGGGGAGGTCAGCAGGAGTGAGCAGGAGAACAGGGCCCTCCACATGGTTCCTGGACCTGTTCAAACCTGTTCTGTAGTAGCCTATTTGCAGGACTTAGGGAGAGGGGGTGCTCTGCTCAGGACTTGCATGCTAGGTGGGACCTAAGACCAGAGCGAGTGGGTACGTGGACTCCCAGCTTTGGTCTGCCTGGCCACATGCCCACTTTTCTTCCTATTGAACCTATTTCAACTCATCTTCCCTTCCCCAAACCAAGAGCTTATAGTCACAAGGAGGTTTTACCTCTCCAAATCTTTCCCTCCATCCCACCGGGCAGGGGTGGGGCAGCCCTTCAGCATAAATACGGCCTGGAGCAGGCAAGGTGGGGAGATAGTGAAAGAAATCAAAATTGCGGTTGCCTCAAGGGGCATGCATGGGAAGGGACTACAAAGGCAGCAATGGAAACTTCCAGAACAAATCATCTGGATGTGAGTGAAGGTTACACAGATAACCACCAGAATAATGTCCCCTCTAAGGCATCCACATGCTCATCCCTGGAATCTGCGAAAGAGTTACCTTACAGGGCCCAGTGGCTTGACCCAGCAGAGGGCACAAAGGCTGCTCACCCACCTCACCACGAGGAGCAGATCCCGGATTACTCAGGGGGCCCAACGTCATCACCAGGGCCCTTCAGAGTGGAAGAGGGACAGATGCATCATGAGAAGGACCCAACTCTCTGCTGCTGAATTGGAAACAGGGGGAAGAGGCCATAAGCCAAGGACCGTGGGTGGCCTCCAGAACTGCAGGCGCCTCCAAAAATGAGGACAGCCCTGCAGCACTCTGGTTTCAGTCTAGTGAGATTCATGTCCAACTTGCAAAACAAAAAATTCAAGAACTCAAAGCCACTACATTTGTGGTCATCTATTGCTGCAGCCATAGCCAATGACACAACAGGCATAAAACAGCTGTCAACTGTAACTGAGCTCTACCCTGAGCTGGCTATTAATCGTAAACCATATTACAATAAAAAGAGAGGGAAGAGATACTTTGCTTTGCTTCTGGAAAGCTAGGGAACTACAAAAAGATGTGCAGACAAGGAGCCGCCTTCAGAGACCCCCTGACCCCCAGGGGAACAGCATGCACCGGCCCCACGGCCAACCTGTCCTCAACCTGCCGTTTATCTCCAAATCACATTTTATTCCAAAGCCCTTCTAATAGGTGCTGCCTCATCTGAGCCCGAAGAGATTGCCAAGCCAGATAGCATCATTCATAAACCCGTCAGAGTGCAGAGCAGAGCACCGGGGTCAGGAGAGGCCGGTGGCTTGTGGTGTGGCCCAACATACTCTCCACCTCCTGTCTGCATTCTCAACCCACATGAGCCGCCCGGCCCCTGCCAGACAGGAGCAGAAGGTTGGGAAAGCAGAGGAAGGGGAGCTGGTGGGGGGCAGATGCTCAGCGCCAAGGCCAGACACCACAGACAGCAGGCCTGCCCGGGACATGCTCAGGGGAAGGAAGTGGGGTCAGGGGCAGGGCGAGGAAGTGACCAGTGGCCCAGGGCATCTCCACAGCAGCGGTGGGAGAGGAAGCAGGCATGGCTGCGGTCAGCTGAGCTTCAAAATAAAACAAAAGAGCAGGCGAATGCAGATCACGGAATGTGGAAGCCGGAAGCCCTCTGCTCTAGCAGTTTCCAAATGGTTTTCCCAGCAGGGAAACTCCTCGCTCCCCTTCCCAGATACATCCTTTATAAGGACGCCAGCTGGGCAGGAGAGAGACAAGGCAGAGTGACTCCCTTGAAACAGAGGGAGGACCCTCCGTCACGACATGGGAACTAACTCTGGACTCCGCTCTGCAAACCACCACTGGAGACCATCCTTCCACTTTTCAAGATAAGGAAACTGAGACCCAGGCAGGAAAAGGGCCTTGCTGAGACTGCAGAGAGATCAACTCCTCAACTTCCCAAGCGACCCTCTCCACCCGCCTGGATGGGGGTAGTTCAAACAGCCTGCGCTGACCTTCTTGCCCTCTGGTAACTGTCACCAGCACTCAGGTGTCCCTCCTTGGGCTGACTAAGCTGGATAGGGACCAAGGAACAGAGGTCTTAGATTAAAAGGATAATCAACTAGCTCTTCATATCAAGTCTTGAAATAATAAGATATTGGTTAATTAGCCTAGCAGACACCCACTACCGATGCTCAAGTCCTTTGC